TCAATGACCAAATTGATCTATATTTTATTTCCTTTATTTCGAAGTGCAAGAGAGCAAATAACGCATCGGTTTCTACGCTATCGTAAAAAGTTCTTAGAAAAACGAACTATCGTATTTTACGGTAACACGCACCACGTAAGTATAATTCTTTCATTTGACCAAATCTACGATCTTATCCGTCGTCGAGGGAGGCTAACCAGGAGGCTAACCAGGGGGCTAACCAGGAGGCTAACCAGGAGGCTAACCAGGAGGCCAACCAGGAGGCCAACCAGGAGACTGACCCAGTCGAAGAGAAGAAACGCAAAAGTAATCGTTTTCCTCCCTCTCGGTCGCGAAAAACCGGTCTCGAAAATGAAGGAAACTCACGCGACTTGCTCGCGACCAAGCAGCACGATATTGCACGTTTCCAGGACCGTATTATCGAATTAAAGGCAACTAGTTCCCTTGGGAAAGCGACTTGACGGGAACGTAAAAGGTAGACTCGTAAATCGCGCGTGCACTTTGTACTTTAGTTAATTGTAATCCGAAGCCAAGTCCGAGGGTTTGTATGATATTCCTTAGTCTCTTCCTCGCTTAAAATCGCGCTAAAATCTTTCTTCTACGAGACATAGGGACGCGTTCGTGTTTAGGCAAATTGCAAGAAATTATGTATACATAAAACGCTCATTTAACGCGTCCATAAGCTTCTATCAAGTACAAATAATAAGATTTCTTCTTTTTTTCTCTCTCCCTTTTTTTGTAGAAACTATTTTGAATTAGGCATAAATTGTTTCTAATAAAGGAATAACTATAACGCGAAATAGACCGACATCAAATGGAATTATCGATAAAACGTTAATCCACGAGCGTTTCTTGCGAGCGTATGAAAAACCTACCTACGTATTTGGACATAAAAAAAAAGTCAATTACGCCATTCTGTCCGACGTTAATTGGGTTAGGACGATGCCGGATGGACGAGCGTTTGTGAAAAGACAGGGACGGAAAAACGAAGAGCGAATAGGGAAATAATTCTCAACGATGTGTCGGAGCGTGGTTATCCCGATCGAGGGAAAACAGGGCGACATCGAGGTCGTAAATAAGAGGAAACGCTGGGAAAGCAGTCGTCTGCGGGAGAATCGCTTTCCCAACATCGGCTGTCACCGGCAGCCCTTTCATCCACGTGCCACCAGCGTGCCTTCTCTTCCCTTTGAACGTCCGACGCCCTTCGACGAATTTTTATTTCTAATCCCGCTTTTCTAATTTCCCCAAGTTTCTACTCTACTGCGGCATGAAAAAACGATCCACCAATCACAATGACATTTATTTCCGTGCTTTACTTCTCGGGTGCTATTAAGAAGAAAATGTACCGCGAAATAAGTAGCGCTATTTAAAACTGCAAACCAATAATTACATCATTACGCATGATATATTAGACGCAAAAGTGAGTGTTATTAATCACGTTGCCGCGAAATAAATTTTGATACGATCAACGCTCTACGTGCTTCCTAACGAAAGCAGCTTAGCTCTCTCTCTCTCTCTCTCTCTCTCTCTCTCTCTCTCTCTCTCTCTCTCTCTCTCTCTGGCAAGAAGAAAGACCAAAGAGAGAAAAGTGCCAAGCTCGCTTTCCAGTGATGAACCTTTCATTATAGGTAATATTCTTAAAAAGCTCCTTATTTTATTTATTGTCTTACTATCGTTGCTGCATCGTGTTTTGTAAAAGTCGCCATAGTTCTTGAAATAAGTAGAAATGCAGGTATACGGTCTTTCTTGTTCGATGGTTTTCCGTTTTTCCCTTTGACTACTTAAATTTTAATCTGCTCTACGGGTCGCATTCTAATAATACGTTTTGGCCTTGTTACAGCGCTCCGTCGTAAAGAGAAACTAATACAATAGAGCTTTTCAATGGAAATCCCTTTTGACTTTGGTCTAGTCATTTCTTTCGACCTTTATCGCTTGAAAATTCTTCCTACTGCCATACTTCGCGCGCGCGCACATAATTTTTAAAAATTCGAAGAAAGGAAATAAATGATTCTTCTTTCCTTCTCGCCTTCGAAAAGATCTTCCAGAGAAGTAAATAAAGGCGTCTGGTGGCAGGGTGAAAATTCGAAGCCCTCGATATGAAGAAGATAATCGAATGTTCGATCGTAGACACGTACTACGTTTTGAGGTACTTTGAACAAGCAGAAGTCATCGAACGCGAATGCGAAGACGCGATGCAATAATAGAAAGTTGTCTGTCATTTTGTATGAGGATATGGGGCAGGCTGCTTTGGCGATTCGCGTCAAAGGATACAAAGAAATTTCATTGAAAATATAACAGTTGCTTTGGACATCTAAGTAAATTCCGTATAATGAGAAAAAGATGATATAGATAGTCGTTGTTGAAATCATAAGAGGTAGTAGATAGTCCCTCCCCGTCCAGGGGGTGGGCCTTCTGCCATGCGATCGCTTCGCGTTCAGCTACCGATAAAAATCTAAACGAGGGTTAATGGCGCATAACGCGCTAACGGCACGTCCGAATCAGATATAAGACTAATCGACTCTTATCCGGCATTGGACGTGTGTCAAGGAGTCATTGTTCGCCTCGTCTCGCTCAAAGTTTACCGTTTAACTCTCCCTTACGCTTCGTGATTCCGCATTCCCGCTATGATGGCCACGGCATTTCCTTAATTAGCATAGATAATGGAGCCTTATATAAACCGCGTGCTCGAGAGACAAAGAGAAAGAGGCCAACACACAGAGCCCGCTTTCAATCCTCCGCTAGCGAATAAAACTACTCGCTACAGTCTTGGCTTCGATTAGTCAACCAACTAAGTAGTTTAGGATACTAGTTTAGGGTCGTGTCAGGAGTGGATCTAATAACCCATCTACGCGATTCCTGTGCGCGCATTCGTTCTAATTCCAAATACAAGATACATCGAACGATTCTCCGCATAACGCGTAATTGATCGTATTAAATTTTCACGCGAATTAATACGATTTATCGTTGCTCGATCATTTTATTTAACGTTTCAAAGGTTGTTTGTACTCATCAGGGGATAAATAAACACAGATGGATAAATTCGTATTCCCCATTGCTGTAGGAACGTGCGTGCTTTAAACGATAACGGATGATAAATTCGAGATATTTCAAATAGCTATGATATATCGTAGAGTACAATGTGACGTATGTAAGTACCGTTAGGTCGCTCCTGGTGGAATCTAACAATAAGTAGAGAACATATCCGAGTGTGGTCAGCCAAGTAGATAAGCGCTGTAGGACGCTTTCAAATTCGCCGCATATGAGAATTTAACAAGCAACGAACTTTCAAACTCGGAAAAAGCGATTACGTATTTACACGCTCTTGTAGAAATAGTAGGGCTCTAATCTCAGGTAGCGTGCTCCGCATCAAAGCTACTCGCGAAAATAATGCCAAGCGCCCCCCTCCCCGCCCTATGGTACCGCGCCAAGCCGACTTTTCTTCCGGGACATCGTTAAATATGTTTTATTCCAACTCTCATCCGCTATCAAACTAGCTCTAGCCTCTAGCTCTAGCCTCTAGCTCTAGCCTCTAGCTCTAGCCTCTAGCTCCAGCCTCTAGCTCTAGCCTCTAGCTGTAGATCTCTCTATGGAGAAGGAGAGGGTTTTCTTCTAGTTGAAGCTGTTTTTCTTTTTTTCCCCGTGCGCGTCATCGATACTCCCTACGTGGAAAGTGTATTATTAGGAAAAAGCAAGCATCTGTAAAATAGGAAGAGAGTCGGGGGTCGAGTAATAGGATGCAATTGGTCGCGGAGGTAATTAATTATCCCGCGAGCGTTAACGACGAGCTGCGACGAGCTGCGACGGTCAGACGTACTGGCAAAAAATACCAAAATGGATTATTAATTACGATATCGGGGCACGTTGTGTACGAGATGAATATCGTTTGGACGAAGAGAGGAGAGAGAAATTCATTGTACCCCAACGCGAAAACGTAATTCTCATTTATTTTTACGAATACACCCCGTTATACGGCTTCAAATAAATTCTTTGCAAATCGAGTCTATCATTCGATTATTCGCAGCAACCAAATGCAACGACCCGAGGCTGCATCCAATTACGAGGGATTTCGATTAAATCTGATTTTTTGTCAATTCGTTGATTCGATTATGCACCCGGAAAGTGACCCGATGAGATTTAGTCTAGTCCATTTATTATCTAGTCCATTATATAATAGATATCGTCTCATTTTCTACGCTATCTCTTTCCTATGATCCTTTGTCGCGAGGGACGAGCGAATAATTCGATGGAATCGGTAAATTAGAAAGACAAGGGTGGAAAGACCTGGGTTCATATTGACCTATCGGTTCGTAAATGGAAGCCGACTAGGCGGAGACGAGCGCTAATTGCGTTTGTCATGCCGATAATTAATAATGCATCGATTGGCGTTGCGACGACGGGAGGGTGGCGAATTAAATGCATTAACGACGATAATCGGGTTGCGGTGAATGCGAAATCGAAAATACACCGGGCGCCAAGTTATTGAATGCAAACGATCAATCATTCGGACAAAGTCCTATCTTTCTTCCGGCCCCTTTCCTTCCGGGCTTCCTTCGAACGGCACCCTCCTATTCTATTGAGCTACATCCGCTCGCGGCAACCTTCTCTTTCCCCGAAACGCTTACTTTGCATCTTTCTTCGCATAATAGAGAAGCGAATCGACTCGTACATATATAGCTGGTACGAGTAATCCTACGGATGTGCCCGATGACGAGCCAGATATGTCGATTTGCTTTCCAGAATGGGACTCCGGAAACAGGCGCGAACAATGATAACGTACGCCCTTCTGATACTCTGCGCCGCCGTAACTATATGCCATTGCTGCTACGTCTTTCCAAAAGGTACACTTTCGCTCGAGTCCATTTCTACTCGCCTCCGAAACATATTACTATGTTATTCAGCGAACTTTGCGTTTAGCTTGCATTTCGTTGCGTGGAGCGAACGAACGAACGCGCGTTTCCTAAACCCATCCAATTGTATAATATGTAACGTCTTTGTTGCAGAGATCAAAGATCCGTGCGTGAAATTGAACTGCTCTCAAGGTGCCCAATGCGTAAGAAGCCGCGACGGTACCGATGCCTCCTGCGAGTGCCTACAAATCTGTCCGAATTTAGGAGATCACGAGGGCTCTGGACCCGTTTGCGGGACTGACGGCATCGATTATCCGACCTTGTGCGACTTGAACAAAAGCGCTTGTACGAAAGGCGCTAATATCAGCGTTGCTTTTCAGGGTAGATGCGGTAAGTTATTCTATTACATACATTTTTATACATTTTTACACATTTTTATACATTTTTATACAGAGGATCCGAACCCGATAGAAAAATAACATGATTACAAATCGATGTAATAAATAATCTAGAAAAATACGAATCGTCGAGATTCCAGCAGGTTATACGTGACGTACGAATGTTTACAAAGCTCGGACAACAGACCTCAACGATCAACCGATATTTGTAAGCGAGTTTATTTGTCGCGAAGGAGATTACTTCCACCCGAAAACACTGAGCAAGCGCGTTCCAATAATATCGATCCAAACTTTGATTCGTTGCATCGTTGATAATTTCATCCAATGAAAATTATTCATATATTTTCTATAAGAAGTTTTTACCATCGTGGTTTCTCCAATACTCGTTTGTCTCAATTTCTTTTTATTTCCTACTTAACTTTCCAAAGCGTCTCCAATCGTAAAGCAAAGCCTTGCTCTGGCATATTATCATAAAAAAGAAAGAAAAAAAAAAAAATGTAAAGCCGTGGCTATGATCGATGGGTTTAATTTATACCTTAACGATATTTTATAGACACCCTGGCACGGGCAAACATACCTTTCGAACGAGCGATCCATCCAACGTACAAGATGAAATACCGGCGAGAAGAGAACAAGAATCTTACCGTATTTATCGTTGAATTTGAATTCGTAGAAGGAAAAATGGAGGAAAAATGGAGGAAAAATGGAGGAAAAACAAATTCCATGTGTAATAAACGATTGAAGTCGGTTCTTCTTTAGCTTGCACCTAGGCAGATGCGGACAATGATAAATTAGCGGATGGCTAAGCTTTCGTCTGAACGCGTTCGCAGACGAAACGCAAGATATATTCGACTCAACCTTGACGTGAACGGAGTCAAGCTACGATTCTAAAAGCCCTTTTCCATACGCGCAGTCATCCTACTTTCTCTCTCTCTCTCTCTCTCTCTCTCTCTCTCTCTCTACCTCTCTTATCTTTCTCTTTGTCACATTTACGAAAGTTGCCGAGGCACTTCGTCTCAAACGCAGTACAAACTTGGCAGGCGTTTAATCAACCGAGTAGTAAAGACAAATGTTTGATCAGACAGGTAGCAAGAGGGAGCCCTTGTTTACTTAGGATTAAGTAAGTTCCATCCCTTGTGCTCTCTTCCTTCGGCGTTCTCTGTCTCTCCGTGCGTCGTTCACGCTCGACTTTCCTCGTCTTTCATAGAAGAGACAAGTTCTCAGACTCGGGAGATGATATTCGATGGTAACAGTTACGATAATCGCAGCCACCGGTTAACGAGCTAGTTAAATACATTGTCGAACGATTCGCGTCCGCTTTCCTATCTACCTACCCTGGTAATCTCTCTGGGGATAAGGAAACGATGCGAACGTGCGAACGATATATTCCGCGTAAATACCAAGAGTTCCTCTCAGCCCAGATATTTACGAAGTTGCTTTGAAAATAGATTTTTTTCCCTCGTTGTTTCACCTTTTTACTTTCTACCTCTGTCAAAAATATCACGTAAAAGGACAAAAATGCACAAGTTAGAAAATATCCAACTGTAGCGTACGAACTATCGTCGTCGAGTGCAAATTGCAATATGTCCGTTTGTGCGTAATAACGACGGCATGGAAACGACTAGATCCAGTGAGCCTTTCAGTTTGTTAGAGGAACTAACTCTAAGGAAGAGAAAGTCACACCAGGAGGACGATGACGTCGGAAGTTTACAAAGATGAACGTCTTCCTCTTCCTTTATCCCCTCCGTGCTCTTACTCCTTCTTTCTTCCGCGAGACTTCTTCGTTTCCCTTCCTTTTCAATTGTATTTCTACCTTGGTATTGTATAAGGAACAATGAAACGTAATATCCCCGAGAATCCTCGTAGAGACGGAAAGAGTCGGCCTCTCCTTTCTTATTCGCATTAGTTTCCGTATTCTGTGCATCTTGACGCAACCCTGAGCAACGTTTATCAATCGGTGCCAGTTGGTCCCGTGGTGTGTACTTTTAAACGGCAAAATCGATAATAAATTGTCCGCGACATAAAGTATCGCTTGGCATTGCTCGAACCCGCTCCTATCTCCTTTCTTTAGTCCGTTAGTTCGTTCGTTCGTTCGGTCGGTTGGTCGCAACATCTTTCCTTCGTAGAATAGCTCCGGATACGAATCTCGAGTGGTGCCGACGATAAATCAAATTAGCTCGCAAAAGTTTCGAGACCCCCATCTATCCTCCTTTCCGTCTACTCTACCTTTTACTTTCTGATCGCCAATCTGAACCAGTATATTGAAAATGGAGAAAATGCTATGGGAAAACGTTTTCCATACAGTTCAACGAGTTAGATTAAAAAAGAAGATTGCTCGTCGCGGGAGCGAACGAGTGAATGAACTAGAGAAGGAAATAGAATCATCATCTTGAAAATGTATAACGCGACGATAAATAATAATTTGAGAAACATAAATTGATGCGATATCAAAGTTAAAGATAAAAGTCTAAGATATTAATAGAAAATATTCCAATCCTCGAGGAGAAAGGAAAAAGTTAGAAGGAAATCGAGGGAGAAAAGTTACTTCTTCGACTAATTAATGCGAAAACGTACAGGTAGAGATTACAAGCTTCTCCTGTTGGCCTACATTTCGTCGAATAAACTCACTTCAACTCGAGATTCTTCTTCTGGTATCTTGGGTAGAAGAAACGAAGAGGAAAAAAGTGTAGATAACCCATTGTTTTCACGCTCGAGCGGGCCGCGTAAGGGTCTCGCGGACGAGAGTTTTAGATACGACGAGGTTCGATTCTGCAAAACGGGTTCAACTAAATTCTCACACTCGCTAGGCTAAAGTATTTGCCTCCGTCGAACCTAGAGACACGTATGAGAGGAAATCTCGAAGGAAGAAAAGGGTGTGCGAGTGTGCAAGTACGAAAGGCAGACTGGTGACGACGTCGTTGAAACGTGTTTATCCAAAGACCTTTTGCGAACAGGTTCAACGAAACGGAAGCTCCTCTTTCGTTGGATCGACGCTCGATTTTCACTTTGAAAGGAAAACGTATCGGAGAAGAAAAGGAATACTGTAGGAGCTCGAAACGGTACTTGGACAACGAACGTTGTAACCGAGACGTAACCAAGACGAATACTACTGCACTTATTCGCCTTGCACTTGTTTCAACTTATTTCAAAGCTCTAGAAGAAGATCATCCTTTATCTTTTTCCGACGAACAAACAACGAATAACGAGTGTGCGATACCTGAAGAAGAGGTGCTACTATGGAGTGCACACTATGGGGTGCGCAATGGCTTTTGACTGTAGATCGAACGGAAGTGGGTTATACTGGTGGCGTACGTTAACCCGGAAGCACCGCGGAGCTGCTGTTAACATAAACCCAGTCATTTCAGCTCCCAGACATAATACCTTTATACGACGCTCGTAATGTTCGCTCGCCTTCGTTTCGCGTGTCTCTCGTATTCTCGCTATTTTGCGAGCAACGGCGGAAGTAGCAGATAAGGCTGCCATATTCTCTCTCCCTCTCCCCCCTCTGCTCAAAGAGCATACAAAGAGATACGACAATTACGATTTATGCGATATTCGAGCGAGTTTGATTAAGCGTGCTCGTCCTCGAAGAAGATCCCTTTGAACTGTGAATTTCCTATATAATAATATTATACAGAAGAGGAAAGAAAAGTTCCTCTCGATGGAAAACGGCGAATGGCGGCTCGGTAACGGGAGGAGGGGCTTGTGTTGCTGGGAAAACCGATCTTTTGCGCATGTTATCATTAAATATATCCTATCTGGATCTGAGCGTAGCTTATCGAGCGCATCGTTGCGAGAGAACGGAACCGAAACAGATCGATCAAATACTATTGCATCCGTTTGATGCGTGTGCATCGGTAGGCTCGCGGGAACGTTCGAACGTCCATAAAATTGAGACCGATGCAGATTGCGAGTACTCCGATGAAAAATCCCTTTCTATCGTTCTATTTGGCTTCATCGACAGTTCGCATTGCTCAAATTCCCGATGATATACGCTTCTCTCCTTTTCCCAATTCATTGGATGAAACAATGAATAGGCTCTCATTGCGTATTTTTCCACTGGAGCTCTTTGCAAATGATTATTACTTTTTCCAAAGTTATTTCGCAACGTGATGCAAAGATGCAAAGTGCAGGGTAGTAGTTTGGCGGAAAAATGGGACGACCGCATGGGAAAGTTTCGCTCAAGTTGGAAGATTAGCGGGAGGGGCCACGGAGGGGCCACGGAGGGGCCACGGAGAGGCCACGGAGAGCGTGACGCCTGAATGCTCCGCTGGAGCGAAGAAAAAGAATTCTACCGAGGAACTTCAAAACAATTGCCCCGTGGCAGCGATGCGGGAATTTTAAAGACACTTTCATCGTTCGCGCGACTCTTTCTCCCTTCCCTTGGTAGATCCCTCGGGCGACCAGGAGACCGGGAGACCGAGCCGATGGAATTTCAGTTATCCTGTCCACGCTCTTTCTCTCTCTCTCTCTCTCTCTCTCTCTCTCTCTCTCTCTCTCTCTCTCTCTCTCTCTGTCCCTCTACCGAGAAAGAAAATTCATCCATCAAAATATAACTTCCCAACTACACACTTCAATTTCCATGATTTATGCGCATACGTTTTCTTTCCAATAAATAACTTCTCCTTCTTTTCTTTCGATAGAAAAAGAAATTGGTAAGAAATGAAGGTAGGACGTCGTCGTTGCGCGTAATCTTTTTCCCCGTAACAAGATGTAAACGCATGTATCTGAGGAACGATAGAAATTTGGTCTTGATGATTAAAGATTATTGTCGAAGAGGAGAAAGATCAACGCCTCGTTAAATTGTATTCGACGTTATCGATCGTCGTTGGAAAAATACTTTATGGCTCTTGTTCGGTATTACAGATCCCTGTGGCAACGTCGAGTGCATGGAACCAGAAATCTGTCAGTTGGATGGCTCCAGGCAACCCGCTTGTCGTTGCAGTGAACAATGCGGACTCGAATTTTCACCCGTATGCGGAAGCGACGGTAAGACTTACTCGAACGAGTGTAGCCTCCGACAAGAAGCTTGCAGATCGAGGCTTCCACTTCGGAAGATCTATAACGGTGCCTGCAGCTCAGGTAAGACGAAATTCCAAACGAATTAAATGCTCTCTATCTCCCAAGCCCTTTTCCTGCTACGAGTGCGATATCTATTCTGCAAACGCAGGGAGCTCGAACAATGAGAATTTAGCGATGTATCTACGTTCGTAGCAGCAAAGAAACCAAAGAACTAACGCGAATATCGAAACATTTCGTTCCATCGGTGATGAAGGTGCAGCAAATTTGCAAAAAGATCATTTGCCAAGTCTAAGATGGCATTCGAATGAGGGAACGAAACGTATAATCGAAAGCCACGTTTTCCACTCAATTTCTCAGGTATCAATCCCTGCGACGAGGCCAAATGCGGCTCGTACGAACAATGTGCCATCAACCGATATGGTATTGCGAGCTGCGAATGCGGTCCGGAATGCGAACCAGTCATGAGACCAGTTTGTGCGCGCGGTGGCACCACCTACACGTCCCTTTGCGAGCTCAAGAGAAGGGCTTGTCTAACGAAGAGCAATATCGAGGTCGCTTACACGGGTACATGCGGCTCCAGAGGACCCTGCTCCGAAAAGGTCAGTCTAACTCTCCCAGTGTTCACCTATCTATCTATCTATCCATCTAGTATCCAACAAATAGCGAACGAGAGGTAGGAAGGTATTTCGCGATTTCCACTCGCATGAACGCGTGCATCGCTCCTACGATTAATGGTCTCCCTTTACTACGATATTCCCTCGACGATATTCCCTCGACGATATTCCCTCGACGATATTCCTCTCTGCCAAATCTTCGCTCTTCGGCGGCTTGACGAAAACTAAATTAATATCATTGTAAATGAAATAGTTATTTTATAAAAGTACCTTCCACATCTTCTATTTTCCTTCCTCGTTGCTTGCTTTGATAACGTTTCAAATGCTACGATCTCTCGTGGAAACTCGACTCGACGACGAAAGACGGAAAAAGACAAAAACGCGTCTCGACTTTCCGCACGATAATTAATTACGGACTAAAGTCGAGGACGAAAGTTTGAGAAAAGGTTGCAAGGTATAAGTGGCTGTAAAAACTCGGTTGCACTCGAATCGAATCCTTGGATATAGGTAAGTAAAAGTTATCGAGTACCGGTATTGCACCGCGTCACAATCTCATAATATTTCTAGGAGCTTCCGCGCGGAATTCCGCATCGGAGAAAAAGGACAGTGCAGCGCAGCGCAGTTATCTAATGGAGCAAAGTACATTAAATCCTGAGAATTAAAGCAGCCGAGCGTAGTAAATTATGCCTCGCGATAAAATATCGTCAGCAATAAATTATCAGCTTTGGGCGAGGGTGCGCGCTCGTGGATAGAGTCGAGAGCGCGTCTCTTTCGACGCGGACTAACTTTCCCGGGATAAGGCTCTATTTAACGCGATTAATTAAACCTACAAACGAATTTAACCAGAGAGACGAGCAATTTATTTTTTTACTCACAGGTTTGCCAATGGGGTGCAATTTGTGCGGAAAATGGTGGTACCGCCGTTTGCGAGTGTCCTACCTGTCCTGCCGAATTTCAACCGGTTTGCGGAGACGACGGCATTAGCTACGGAAACGAGTGCAAACTGAGATTAGAAGCTTGCCAACATCGACGGGAGATTCGAGTTCTTTATCAAGGCCTCTGCAGTGAGTAATCAAATAATCGACAATATTTCGATATAGTAAACAGTACCTTAGTCGTTATGTTACCACTGTTAATTACCAGCGTAACATAATAACAGCTCCGACACCAGCAAAAGCTAAATCGAATTTATCGAAAACGGATTCCCATCTACTATGGTTCGCTTGTCAGAACGTTTCTAAACTTGCTACCTAATCAATTTGCCGTGCAACACGAGATACGAGTTTCTTGACGAAAGAAAAGATTTTCCCTCGATATTAAGAATTTGTCATAAATACCAAAACATGGAAATGATTATGTTAAAAAATGTCTCGCTATCGATAACGAGATATTCGCAATGAAAAGACGGGAAAGAGAGAAAGAGAGAAAGAGAGAGAAAGGGAGACATGGTACAAAGACTCTACGCGACACGAAAGGAAGAGAGAAAATAGAGATGCGCCTCCTGGAGGCGATACGAAATTTATCGTCCGTCATAACAAGATGACAAGGATTTCTGAAAGCGCGGAAACTACGATATAGTCCCGCTTTAATCTTCCCCATTCTACATTCTCTTCTTCCTCTCTCTCTCTCTCTCTCTCTGTCGCTGGTTCGCCCTCTTTATGGAAATTACTCGCGAATGACCCGGCTGTGCACGAAACAAACGTACAACTCGAGGGTTCGCCCCGAGGCTGGGTACCGCGTGACACCTGGCTCTGTTCATTTCCAACGCAAATTCACACATTCGCGAATGCATCTGTCGATGCCCTCCTCTTCCTCTTCCTCTTCCTCTTCCTTTTCCTCTTCCTCTTCCTTTTCCTCCAACTACTATTCCCATTTCTTCTCCAACTCTCCTCTAGGACTCTCTTCGCGTACACTCGAATATCTACGTGTCTCCCTGACCTACCGTCATCGTCGTCTAAAGATATTATTCTCTATGAAATATCCAAATAATTTCATGCGTTAATATCGAATTTTGTTTTTCCTGCACGCTTAATGCATGAAAACATTATACGAATATATTTCCATTTAAATGAGAATTCAATTCTCATGAACGAGTCGGCGCTTTGTCGGGTAAGACCGATCGATACGAAATTTGCGAATACATCGCTGTTTTCCCTTTGCTAAAGATTTCTACATTACATCTTTATATTACTGCTAGATACGACACTGTGATTCCAACATATAATATAATGTTACGTCTATTTGTTTAAATTACTAAATTGCTTAATGCGATTATGCAAAATGTTTCTTAAAAGATATATATATATTTATTGATGAAATAAAAAGTAATACTTTATACTGAATTATGTGAAATAAGGTGAAAAGAACAAATTTTACTTAGCGGCAGACGTTTAGATGTCAAAAAAAAAAAAAAAACAAGCTGAAATATAAAAAGAGTGTATTAAAGTATTAAAATAATTGTTAATTAATTAATAGAAGTGTCTATTGTTGCTTAAAAGTTAGGAGTATACGATCTATATACCGTCCTCTTCGAAATTCACCGTTGAAATGAGTCATTGTCCTCTATACAATTTCTTTTATTGAAAGTTGTTTATACGACTTTCCGAACGTTGCGCATGTGTATAAAGGGAATAATGCACCTAATACATAAAATTTAAGATTATATCGCTCTGATTTTAGCATTTTTACATTTTTATGTAATTGTTTAAACAAACGTACATTTGTTTGAACGTTCCTGTGCAGCGATGACTTCAGGGGATAAAATTGCATGTTGCCGATAAAGAAAATATATTTTTCTCGAAAAGATATTAAATTAACCGCCTTAGCGATGCAGGTACCGGCTAGGCCGCTCGACTTGCAGCAGATATATTAAATAAACAAACGCACGATATCAGTTCTCTCTCTCTCTCTCTCTCTCTCTCTCTCTCTCTCTCTCTCTCTCTCTCCTTCTCTAGCAAACCTACAGTACACTAGATTAATATCTATTCGTAGACGACTAAAGGCAAAAACCTGAGCACATAGTTTCGGTTCAAACATCGAATTCTTTTCGCTAATGAATGCGCAGCTTCGATCGTTCATGCCCCTTATGAAAGAAGTCATTAATATGCAAGACTCTACGCTTTTAATTAAGAACGAGCACTAGCTCGCGTAAACGATATTAATAATACATCCACGAAACAAGCTCTCTTCGTAGAAGAAAATAAAATTCTACTAAAGAGTGATACGCGAAGATATTACAACGCAATGAGAATTGTCATTTTTATATCGCTCGAAACAATCTTTTAGAGATCCATAGAAATATGAGTCAAGTTTCAAAAGATATTTCGAGATAGGAAAAATGATAGTTTATATCTCGGAACACGATGTTTCAAAATACGTCGTACGAACGTCGATTTTCCTCTCGCGACGTTAACTTGCATCCTACGTTAGATTTATAACGTCATTATGTTTATAAAGTGATACTAATTTCCTCTTTGCAGATGGTTGCGAGAATAAGAAATGCGAACATTACGCAGAATGCGAGAGCGACAGCGCTGGGGAGGCAAAATGCGTTTGCCCGACTAAATGCGAACATTCGGTAAGTAGGAACGTACCATCCTGGGGAAAAACTCGACAAGCTATATTACAACTTTATTTCATTTTACATTACTACAAATTGTTATAGGATACAGAATAGACTAAGCGCAAGCAATGGATAAAAAAGAAAATAATTGATCTAATAGATGGAAAAGCATGCTCGATACTCCTATATTATCTATGTAGTTATTCGAATCCTCTTAAGCGAATGTTATTAATGGCAAAATCAACCGATTTATCGTTTGGTGACTAAAAAAATATAGGAAATACGATGAAACCATAGGCGAACGTGTGTTACAAATGGAATTCATATCGTTCACGCAAATACATAGGATATGTATATGAATATCGCATAGGGCATTCATCGTGGGACGAATATTTGACTGTTGTGTTACGTTAACGAGAACGAGGCTTAGCGCGTGTCGGGTGGCCTTCGATATACAATAACTAGGGAGATAGGAATGTTTGATGGCTCGTTTCTCTCGTTTTTTATTTCATCTAACAGCAACTATTTCGTTATATACCGTAACGGGAAAATCGTTAGAGCATATACTTTTGCAGGAGAACGAACGATTGTTGCTTGATAGATTTAACTCGCAGCTGCGTGAATCAGAGTGTTTGTTTTATTTATTGAATCAACGATATGCTTTTCGATGTATTTCAATGCTTTCTCATCCGGACATTCAAAGTTATGTATATGTTACCGTCAAAGCCGGAAATCCGTCATTGCTAGTAATTCCTCGGCATTACTATGAATGCAAAGAGCCTTCAGACGTAGTCGGAAATAAAACTTTTTGGAGAGATTTTCCTAGGCATCGAACATAATACTTTGATATCCTATAGAGAATATCAAATTACTATTTAAACAACGTTGAAAAGAATATATTCTCAGGCACGGACACACGCAGCCATACGCAACCCCTTCACCCCAAAACAACCAATACAGATAAAGAACATTTCGTTCTAACCTGTGTATCTTCCGATACGATAATGAACAAAAGATACAGATTTCCATGGAAATCGGGCAAGTGGTAACGTGTGTACTTCGTCGAAGAAAAAACTAAAAGAAAGAGAACTTGTCTTTTTATTTTCCAAGAAAGAATGCTGGAAAATAAGGAAGATAAAGACTAAACAAAGAGAAGAAAAAACAGGGGAAGAAAGAGAAAGAGTATAGAATTCCCTTAGGACTAGACAACGTCACGAAAGAAAATCCATAGTCGAAAAGACAAGCGTGAATTATTTAGCATTCGCACGTTTCCTGCTTCTTTTAATCCCGCGTGTGCTCTCGCGCTTTTCTAAAGAATAAATCTATTTTTAATCATCTATATATACTTGTGCGCGCAAATATTCAAACAAATAAAAAACTATTTACTTATTGCAAGTTAAGAAAAGAACTCTTATCGATAAAAGTAGTCAAAGTTTCTTATCTTCTTTTTATAGTTTATGAATCGTAAGAGGAAAAATCTTCTCCTTGCTCATCGGACGGTATAATTTTCTTGTTGTCCTTGTCTACTCTTTTAACAACGAGCCATTGCTTATCTTTTCACAATGCAACGTAATTCTCAGGGGAAAGAGTCGACGGAGAAAGTTTGCGGATCTGACGGTGTAAGCTACGAGAACGAGTGCGCCCTGAAGAAAACTTCCTGTACCTCGCAGACCGAAATCGCTATTCATTATATGGGCGACTGCGGTTAGTTATTTTTTCCTTTGAATTATAATAAATCTGTATAAAGGATTGAGAGAGAGAGAGAGAGAGAGAGAGAGAGAGAGAAAGATACTGTATACAGAGATTATTACTAGATTCGAAGAATCGAAAGGGATTAAGTGGATGGAAAATTCAAATGATTCGCAGAACTTTGCGCGAGGGTGGAATGCGAAAACGGAGGTCGGTGTATGGCAGGAGTTTGCGTATGTCCAGAGATCTGTCCGGAAAGTAACGGAGAGCCTGTATGCGGTAGCGACACGAAGACTTACCAATCCGAGTGTGAATTACAAAAGGTAGCTTGTGGGAGGGACCCGAAATTGCCGGCCTTGCACGTGATTTTCTACGGCGACTGCGGTGAAAGACTCGCTGTGGCAGCGCTGAGTAAGTTGAAAAATTCCCTTTTCCGAAAACTCCTCCTCCTCCCTACTAAAACTCGTTCGTTCGCCGATCGAAGATTCGAACAATGTGTCCCGGTGGGAGGGGAAAAAAGGGAGAAGAAAAAATAACTTACCGTTCGACGAAACAATGGATAACGCTCGACAATCGCCATCGCGAGCTAGACGTTTTGCGATTCCAATCGAACAAAAGGACATTGAAGGATCTATTGAAAAAGGCATATCGAACGCGCGATTTTATCTTTTTCTAGAATAATTATTACACCAAAAATATTATATTTCAAGAGTTATCGCGCGCGATTAACTAAAATAAGACTAAATTATAGTCGATAAAATTAGTTTCGCCAATCCTACTGAATCCAAGTGAACGCGAATTTTAACAAATTGAACAGTTTGAAACAGTTGGCAAGGTACATTTTAAAAACGCGTATTATTTGAAATGATAATAATATCTACTTAATACGAATGAATGCTTTTTAACGAACGCTTCTATTAATTCATTTGGAATGTCATAATCCGCTTTCACCTAATTCTCTCTCTCTCTCTCTCTTTCTCTCTCTTTCTCTCTGTCTGTCCGTCTGTCTTGAAATCGCTGGAAACAGCGACGATGTCGACACCGGCTCTGACGCGAGTAGCCACCACGGTCGCTGACGTTACCAGCACTCAAGAACGAGAGGCTTGCAAGGACATTCATTGCGATTTCGAGGCCACGTGCGAGCTCGGACCAGATAAATTTCCAAGGTGTAGCTGCCGATTTGATTGTGCTTCGATATCTCCGGAAAATATGCGTCCGGTCTGCGGCAGCGATCTCAGGACATACTCGTCTCTCTGCGCGATGAAAATGGAGGCCTGTCAGCGACAACAAGAATTACGGCTGAGGCCCCTTGATCTGTGTCAAGGTTGGCCATCTTAGTTGCACGTTAACAATGCTTCCACCTATTATTCTTTCTTCATTCTTTGATAAGACTAATACTGCTAACTTTGTATACAATGTTAAATTGTACGATATATAGACATTTACTTTGATTGTGATTACGATTTACTTTGATTCTTATTTCTGATTACGATTAGATTTAAGCGGCTTACTTTTAAATTCAATTTAATTTTGATTAATCGTCCAGGCATGGAGGTAAAACCATGCAACGGAGATCCGCCATTGATCGATGCCGATGGGAAGGAATACGATTGCGGAAGCGGACCCGATCGCCGAGATTGTCCGAGCAACAGCTATTGCCATCAAACACCGCGATTCGCTCGCTGTTGCAAGAAAGGTAGCAACCAACCTAAGTACCAAAGTAATTCGAAGAAAACAATCAATTGGCCACTTTTTATATTCCATAGTCCAAGGAATTCAAGTGGTCAAGTGCTCGGATTCCTGGCACGGATGCTGCCCCGACGGTAAAACCGCAGCTCTAGGACCGGATGGCGCTGGTTGTCCTAGTTCATGCAATTGTAACAGACTGGGTAGTGTATCCGACACCTGCAATCCGGAAACCGGACAGTGCGAATGTCGACCAGGAGTGGGTGGTCTTAAATGCGACAGATGTATGCCAGGTTATTGGGGATTGCCAAAGATCAGCGAAGGACATCAAGGATGTATACGTAAGACGAATAATTATACTTACTCTTACATTTAATATGCTTACCCGCCGACATTATTATCTAGATATTGTATCTTTCCTTTCTATCTCTGCAGCTTGCGGTTGTTCTCTCTTTGGTTCCGTCCGAGAGGATTGCGAGCAAATGACCGGACGTTGCGTCTGTAAGCCCGACATTCAGGGCCAAAAGTGTACAATCTGCACCGATCACAATAAAATACTTACGCCCACCGGATGTTATTCAGGTATCTCGTAGAAAATGTCAATCTCTTTGACGAGTAAATAAAAAAAAGAGAATCTGCCTGGGCGCGTATCGCCTACTAACCTAATCTCATCTATCCGCATACCAACTACTTTACTACCAACTACTTTACTACCAACTACATTCGCATAATCAATCCTCCAGCTGAGATGAAATTTAAAATTGTACTTTGTTATGTGTTCTCAGCCGATACGATACCACCGATCCCAACCTCTTGCAAGGAACTGGAGTGCTATTCCGGAGGACACTGCTCCGAAATAGGTGGTCCACACTGCGTCTGTCCGTCCTCCTGTCCAACGGACATACCGTTGGTACCGGTTTGCGGTAGCGACGGACAGACTTACGACAGCGAGTGCGAACTACGTCTGTACGCGTGTCGTCACCAGGCGGACGTGGTGACCCAGGCCTTTGGTCACTGCAGAGGTGGGTTCACTGAGCGTACGCCGCACAGGCCGCTTTACATTCTACGTTACTGAACATAGAAATGATTGACGGAAAATAAGGAGATAAGTGAAATAGACAGTATAGGTGTATCCGGTAAGAGTAAATGCGCGTCTGAATACAAGTTAGATCAAGTTAGGAATGTAAAGGAGATGCACCGTTTTCTCTAAACTACTGCGTTTCTCGAAATTAACAATGCGCTCTAATTCGACGACCCTATATATTATAATCGGATACGTCGAAAATAATATATTGTTAATCTATAGAAAAAAAGGAAATTATGAGATTTTCGTCGCGCTTCCATAGGCTATCTTTATTCTTCTTATTTTTCACGATCGAAGCTAAGAAAGGAATGAGATAATAGGCGCGGCGAATATCAAGGAACTAACCTGCACCAGCCTATTTCCTTTGTATCCAAAGGTGATAATAAACTTATCAACTTTTTACTGACATGTATATATATTTATAACCCATTTATAACCCATTTATAACCCATTTATAACCCATTTATAACCCTTTGCACCTCTCTAACAACCCGGAGCCCACAGGTCGGCGGCACTTTACTCGCTTTCGAAATCTACTTTGATCTCGGCACCGTTTTCACCGTTACGACGACAGCTGCTTGCTCGATCGACCGATGGATCTCGAAGGATCTGGAAAGATCTAGATCTAAAGAAAGAAAAGAAGCAAAGGATGTCCAGTCCCTTTTGTTTTTTCCAAGACGGCCGTTTACTTCTATCGCCTATTGTGCATTACGTTTGACAGTTATTGCTTTCATTAATCAAACTTATCACACAGCATATTCGTGAGGGTGGGTGCACGAATAAGCCAGCACGCACACGAGTACGCGCTCATTTTACGTCGGTAATTAGTTTCCCAACTCAAATATGAGCGCTGAGCTCTGACAAATTGAAACCACGGAATCGACCCAATTCAAATTCAGACTTTAGCCAAAGCACCTCGATTTCGGCAAGCATACCGTTACCTTGGAAAATATTCAGCCGGATAGAAAAGCTAGCTCCTCGTTCGCGAGACACGCGAGCCAACCAACTCTATTGCCTAATCTAAGATCTAATTAAATCATTCTCAATAATTCTAATTAAATCATTCTCAAATATTATTAATGACAATTGTTGCCAGTGGAAAACTGTACCGACCATTTTCAAAGTTGCATTTCCTTCTCTCTTTGGAAAAGGATCGATTTGAAATTCCCGACCGGAGTCTAAGGATAGTTTAACGATAAAAACAGGGCATGCAATTAATCGTACAGTAATGGTGGCTGTGTTCAAGGTAACACGATCGATATCGGAGAATCCATCCGCTTTAACGAGCGAGCGAGCGAGCGAGCGAGCAGGCTAGTGGTAGACCTAAAAAAAAAAAACGGAAATACGGTAAGATCTTGCCTCGTTGTTTTTCCTAGTTTTGACTCCTCTCTTTCCTGCATTACTTACCTCACGGAAAAGTTCGTAAAACGAAACGCCGAAATCTATTAAACTCGTTCCCACCCCTAATTTTTGATTGGCCAGTCCTCGAAAGTCCTCTAACCGACCTCCTCCTCCCTAAACTCGATTCGACTGTCCGACTTTGGCGTCGAAGAAAGTCAATTCCTTATAAAGTTCTTCTTCCTCTCGCCAAACTCTCCTTCTTCCTTCTTGGGAATCAAATATAAATCACATTACGTTGCGTTACCGCGCACCGTAACTTTTCCGTTTCCTCTTTGATTTCTCCCCGACCGCCGTTTGCTTGCTCGAGTTTATCTATGCGTGTTCGTATGCGTCTACGCAAAAGGATGAAAATAAGAGAAGAAAATGATGAAAGGAACGTAATGGGAGATACCACTTTGCTTCCCGTAAATAATGCATGTTGTAATTCCTGGAGAGGGCTAGGGGTAGTCTACGATCACTTGGATATCCTGAAAGCGTGACGCGCCTTTGACGGTCGCGCGAGTAATAACGATCGAGTTACCGTCGAGGATACGGTAACGAGGGAATTGATCAAAGTGAGGAAACGAGGGAAGACGAACCATGTCTCCGCTCCACCTTCTCTTGCTTACTTACTTACTTACTTATTACATTCCACCCTTTTCACAATTTCTAAACGGGCCTTTCTTTATTGGTCAAACTACTTGTTTTTCCCAAAAGAAAACTATTCAAAATTAACTTCCGTCTTTGTCTATTTCGAAGCAGACGCCTTAGTTTTCTTTTCTTCTTTCGTATCGATACAAAGGCATGCTTATAATTCTCAAGAAATATTTGAATCTTTGTAAGCTGAAGATAATGGAAATTACTATTGTATAAAAGGATATACAATACTTGATACTCGAGGAAAATTTATTACAAATAAATGCCTTAGACGTTTTTATCCCTTTACCTCTCCTTCTTGTAAAAGTAAGCAAGAATAAATAAAGAGAAAGACATCCTATAAACGATAAACTCCGTTGACCGGATTCTTTGTCCTCTTTGAACGCAAAATAGAAAAAAGTTACAGAGAAAAATATGAATAAATACGGATATTAGAGTAGAATAGAATTCTTTGAGCAAAACATACTTTGATCACCGATAATGCACTTTCTTCGATCCCTCTGATAACTGAAAATGAAGAACATGGTAATAGTGGAAGACGATAAAATAAAATCAAAAGAGCAAGATTCGTTAGTATCTCGAATTTTCTCAACTTTTTTTCTCGTCGAAAAAGTAAACTGTAAGCATCCTCTTACTCTTATAGAAATATACACAAGGAAGATAAATTGAAAAACAAATGCTTTCGAAAAAGAATCAAACTCGAGAGCGAAGCGAAGCGTAGCAAAGGAAAGGCGGAACGTCGTATTTTGCAAACGTTTCTTCTTTTTTTTTATTTTTTTCTTATTTATTAGACCAAGAAAAATCATTTACACGGAGTCTACTTTGAAACAAGCTATTTACCAAATATTTATCGAACGATCGAAAAAATAGAAATGCAGATAGAAAAGCGAGCTTGGGGGAGGCTTGGTTAAATAAATAATAAAAAATAGACAAAAAAAGAAAAAAATTTACGAAAATCTTGGAGAAGATATAATAGGAAACAACGGTGCACAATTGGAAAGTAATTAAAATCCCATCAAGCCGCACCCCCTGCCCCACGATCCCGTTCACCGAGTTACAACTTTTGTTACTCGCGGCTTGACTTACGGTCTACGAGTCGAACGAGTCGATAAGATTAGCTTTTGGATTCTCATTATTTACAGAAATTACTATGCATCGAGGCACGTTTACTACTACTCACGCGTTTCTCCTCCTTCTCATTCTCTCCTTCCAATTTGATTACACCATTTTATTAGATCGATGCAAAATAGGAATAACGCACGTAGATTCAGCATCTAACGTTGAATATTTTCACGAAATTATTGAAACATCAATAGTTTGTCAACATCATCGGCGGCGGCGGAGGCGGTGGCGGAGGCGGTGGCGGAGGCGGTGGCGGAGGCGGTGGCGGAGGCGGTGGCGGAGGCGGTGGCGGAGGCGGCGGCGGCAGATGACAATTAATCGAGATTAAACAAGCCAAGTATTGTTCGATCGTGTAAAAATGACCATGTAAATATGCTCTACAAACGATCCCTTTTAATGAAATTCCCTCCAGTCACGGATTAATTAGGCTGAATATATATTTATTGCGACCGCAGGCCCATCGTCTCTCCGTTGCATCCGCAATTTAATATAAATTTAATATAGATAGTCGCGAATAAATCGCATAAAAGATTCTTTTATAGCGGTAAAACGAATATTCTTAAGATCGTTTTATTAGATCATTATTTTATTTTCGCGAGATTTAAAAAACATTTAGATTCATTTCTAAGTGTAAACACTACAATGTATATCTACTTTCATTAGTATATGACGTTTGAGATTAGTTTAGTGGAACTCGCAAGAAAGGATCAATTTCTAAGTAAGTAAAGCGAATGTTCATTAAACTTTCAGACGATCCTCTCGTGAACACGGACTTTCCCGTTAAGAGATACACTGCCGTGCAATACACCCAACCAGCAGCCGCTATTTCGCCATTATCTAAATCTACCAGGCATCTTTTGGTCCCAGAACCAGATCCACGATACTATTACACTCATCGAGCTCATCAAGAAACCATCACCATCGACAGAGATAATCTTAAGCACGGTAAAACAAAGCTGATCTTTGTCACAAGATTCCAACATGTGTCGTGTATTAAAGCGAAGAAAAGGAACGAAAGATTTATTAACAAGATTTCCCTTATTATCCTTGCATTAGATTTGCATACGGAGTTGCATACGGAGTTGCATACGGAGTTGTGTGTGCATACGGTGTTGCATATATTTTCTAACCCTAATTCTATTCCACTAATACGCGGTATGGTTAGCAGGTGATAGGATAGATAGATAACCGTTAGTTTTGATTTCGTAGGAGTTGCAGCGGTATATCGACCGACTCCCGCGACGATTAGGGTCGTCACGGCCCTTCTCGGTGATCTTTGTACCGACGACAAGGATTGTACGATTCCCAATAGCGAATGCTCCAACGGTGGTTGTATCTGTTCCGAGGGTTACGCAGAAACCAGTGATCGACAAGAATGTTTCGGTAAGAAAATCTTGTCCGTTGAATCCTAATTTCGCCGAAATACGCCGACAACGATCATCGCGTCTCAATTTTCATCGCAGCCAATTACGTGCCGGTGACACCGACGGAGGAATTTCGTGCCTGTCTCTCCTATCCTTGCCATATGACATCAACGTGCATCGACCTGCCGAGCGCAACATTTGTCTGCATCTGTCGGCCGAATTATACGGGGCTGCTTTGCGACGAAGAGATAAACAAGAGAGATTACGAGGTACCTTCCTTCGACGGTAAGAGCTACGTCAGAATGAACAGACTGAAGGCTTATCACAAGTTCAGCATCGAGGTAGAATTAAAGACCTACGCCGACAACGGAATTATACTTTACAATCAGCAGAAGAGCGACGGGACCGGTGATTTCGTTTCTCTCGCCATCGTCGATGGGTAAGGTTTTTCCAATTTCCTAATATCACCTACTTATTACAACTCGTGTCAACAAAATCATTCCCTGTCTCTCTTCAGACACGTACAATTTAGATACAATCTTGGCAATGGTCCGGTTGTCCTCACTTCACCGGAGAAAATCACCATGAAGACCTTCCATAGAGTAGCAGCGAAAAGATACCACAAAGATGGAGTACTGATCTTCAACGACGGCGAGGATATCGTTGGCCAGAGCCAAGGAGTCCTCAAATCCTTGGATCTCAACCAGGATACGTTCGTTGGGAATATGCCGAGCAATTATTCCAAGTGAGCGAGATTACGCTATGCATGAGTATCGAAAGATTATGCTAATTCGAGGATCGGTTAGATATTATATTATGGATTAGATATCCATATCTAATATTATGTTTCGTTAACGTTGAACAGAGTCTACGACAATATCGGCACTAACCACGGTTTCCTTGGATGCATAAGAAAGCTAAAGATCAATCGCATCTTCGTGGACCTGCACGTTGGACAAGACAAGGACGTTTTAGAGACTTATCGTGTAAAGGAATGCGGAGACAACGCTTGCGCCAATCTCCCTTGCGAAAACGGCGCTACGTGCCAGCCAATCTACGAGGAGGATCTCTGCAATGGCCGGGAATGTCGAAGATTGCAGAAGAGGGCCAAGAACAGGATTAATAATAAGAACGGCCAGAAGAACGGCCAGAAGAACGGCCAGAAGAACGGCCAGAAGATCGGCCAGAAGAACGGCCAGAAGAACGGCCATAATAACGGTCATAATAACGGCCATAATAACGGACATAATAACGGACATAAGAATGGCGTAAGCATCGTCAGATGCAAGGGCTCGCATTGCGCCTCGATCGATCAACCGAGATCAAGGAAGAACTCGAAGAAACGTTGCGTCGGTAGCAAGTGCGATTACGACTACGATATAGATTTCGAGGCAAGTTTCGATCGTGGAAATTACGCTGTAGAAAAGTACGAACCACCGGATTACAAGTGCATTTGCCCGCCCCAATTTACCGGCCGAAATTGCGAGGAGTCATTGGATCCGTGCATCGACGAACCCTGTCAGCACGGTGCCACTTGCGACATACTACCTCAGGGTGGATACGTTTGCAAATGTCCACCCGGTAGGACCGGCGTACATTGCGAAATTCGTAAGTATACGTCATCCTACTTAAGAGCTTTACAAAATATTCATTCGTTATCTTCGATTTGTTTTGCAGTCGATGCCGAATTAACGGAACTGCTAATACCGGAAATGTCCGGCGACGGTTTTCTCGAATTACCATGCCTCGAAGGAGTCGCCAAAGCTTTTTCCATCGAGCTTTGGTTCCTAGCTCGCCTCAACGACGGCCTTTTATTATATAACGGCCAATTGAACAACGGTAGAGGCGATTTTATCAGTTTAAACTTGGTCCACGGTAGACTAGAGTTCAGGTTCAATCTCGGAAGCGGTATCGCCAATATCACGTCGCCGGATACCGTTACTCTCGATAATTGGCACTGCGTCAGAATAAGCAGACTCGGAAGGGAGGGTGTTCTCCAATTGGACGATGGAACGGTAGCGAGAGGACTCTCTGGAAGTCCTCTCACAGAATTGAACCTAGAAATGCCTCTCTACGTGGGTGGAGTCAAGTAAGCTTTTTTACCAAACGCTAAAACCCCGATAGGTTTAGACAACGCAAAAAGTTGTTATATTTCATCGTCGCGTTTCAGACATTGGAGAGAAGTACATCGCTTGGCGGGAGCTTGGACCGGTTTAACGGGAGCCGTGCAAAGGCTGATGGTAAACGGCAAGACTTATCAAAATCTTGCCGTAAACGTAACGCAACACAACACAGAGATCTACGACGGGTTACCGTGCCCGAGCAACGAGAATCCTTGTCACAACGGTGGCGTTTGCCTACCCTTGTTGAATAGCTACCTCTGCAAATGCGCTACCGGCTACAACGGACTGCACTGCGAGTTTTGTAAGTTCTGGCCGTTAGAGAAGCTTGTGCCAGCACACACAGTTTGCGCCACTCGAATAACCAATCCTAACAATTCTATTCTTTTCAGTCATGGGATACGACGTTTCGAGCACGGAAGATTCAAAGAGACCGGTACGATTCGACGGCGACAACTTTTTGCAATTTAAACATCGTCTTGGTAGAAGGTACGTACGTGATCGATCGATCGATCGAGAAATAATCTCGTTTCTATGAAAAAGTTTCGCTAGAATCGGCTAATTGGTAAGATTAAGCGAAAGTGAATGAGATCGAGCGAAAGTGAATGAGATCGAGCAAAAGTTTATGAGAGAGAGAGAGAGAGAGAGATAGAAATCCATAAAGAGAGCACCGAAGTCCTACAACTTTAGTAACGCGTAGTTCGCTTTAACAAACCCGTTTAAGCGAAATTACTAATCTTCTGATTATATAACACTCCAACTAGTACTAACACAACTAATACTACCCTCGGCGAGTATTTCGAAGAGTCCTACTCCGACTACGACTTGGAGGACGTCGGAGAGTACGAGTACGACAGTTACGATTATACGGAGTAAGTTTCTGATTGCTGTCACAAATGTGTACCGCGTATGTGTGTTAGAGAATGCTTCCTCCTTCTAGTCGCGTAGCGTAATACCGCGTCTACGATTCCAATTTCTATCGCAATTTCTATCGAAAGCAACGATCGATCATCTTCGTTCATTAACGACGAGAAACATCCTTTCGTTGTAAGCTTTTAACCACGACTCTCCTTCCCTTCCTTAAATATTTGCTTACTAAAATACACATACTTATTATGTATCACAGCTTGACTCGTTGAAAACCGTCCGCCCCTCCCCATCCCTCGTTGTCGTTGTGTAAGATGCTTCCACGTATTCTTCGTGATGATTTCAGACGCAGAGGGCAACAATCCAACAAGTTCGAATTACGACTGAAGACGATTCATTCCGAGGGTCTGATCGCTTGGATTGGAAGGGGAAAACTCGAACACCTTATACTTTCTTTGCGCGGGGGTTACGTCGTTCTCTCTTACAAGAGTAAAACGGAACAGATTAACGTGAAGAGTAGGGTGAGTAAAGTATTCGGACACGCGTAATATAATTGAAGTATAAGAAGCAATCGCACGACACCTAATCGTTGTTTTCATAGGAAAGAGTGGACGACGGTGTTTTTCACCACATAAGAGCGAGTCGGAGAAGACGCGCCTCGACGATACAAATCGACGAGTTTGCCCCGGTTAAGATGCCAATGGAGAGTGGAACTTTACTTACGACCAATGGCAAATTATTCATCGGCGGTAAACCAGGCCACCGAGGCATCAAGGGCTGCGTCACGGACTTTATCATCGACAAGCGTCGATTGCAATTAGTTAGACGGAAGATCGACTTTTGTCACGACAACGACGTATGATGATAACGAATCGCGGAGACGATCAGACGATTCGCAAGATTCGTAGCTTTTCTTCTCCTTTATCATTCTCCAAGCCTTCGTCCAAGTTCGTCTGGATTTCGCCTGGCTCGAAGATATCGAACGAACCTACAGAGGAGGAAGAGAAAAACTTTGAGAGATTTTATTAACGGATCGAATCGTCGTTCTTAGATCTTTCTTCCTCCAATTTTTTTAACGTTCGCTCCGAACGACCACGATTCCTGCCAAAGTCCCACATCGCGAGAAACCGATCGCTCTCCGTCATTTTCGCGACTGCCATACTTAATTCGTTGTCGCGTCGTGTCTCGCCTTCGAACGACATGCGCTACAAATAGGGATAGAGATAGGTGCAAAGAGAGAGAGAGAGAGAGAGAGAGAGAGAGAGAGAGAGAGAGAGAGAAGAAAAGTGCTGCGTTTTTTTCATCAAAAGACAATAATATATTTTTAAGGTAATACGATAATTACATGCATAGTATTATATGTATACGTACGTAAGCATGCTCGCGACATTTATTCGAGAAAGAATAAGAGCGCGTAAAACAAGCAGAAAGTAAGGAAGGACAGGCGAGAGAGAGCCTTCGGCCGAAATACTCGTCTTTAGATATTTACGATAAGCTATGCTAATGCACTTAAAACAGAAGGATAATAACAAAGAACACTTAACATTGCCAAGACTGAATAAATATTGGGACGAAAGAAATTGTAGAGAGAAAGTGAATGTGTGCGAGAGAAAAAGGCGCTAATTTGATGTTACGTTTGAGTGTTTGGTAGAGAGATTTAATGAATATGAATTTGAAAAATAGACGAATGTATTTTAATGGACTGTTATAATTTATGTCCATAGTACGCCATATGTATGCGAAAACAAATATGACAGGGATCATAGATTCCTTGTATACACGTACAAACGTTGACACACATTTACACTGTTAAGCACACGCTATTGTTTTTAGGTAGGCGAGGCTTTTTACAAAATGCGCTAAAAGAATAGATGTATTATAAATATATATATATATATATATATATAAACCGATTGCATTCCATGTTACGGTGGATATCACACGTGATAAGCGAATACACGCTTATGCATTATCAGATGTAAGACGATAATGGATCCCACCCAAGAAAAACCCCGCTTACGTGTGTAATCCAACGATCCGCGCGAGGATATGTATGCGTGTGCGTGTGTGTGTGCGTGCGATAGATATACGAAATATTAAGATATATCTTATGCGCGTGCGCTAGAGTTAACGTTTCGCAAAACCTGTAAATAACCGATATACGTTGATCTATCGATTACAAAGCAATGATCGTTCAGAGATGTACAATACTGGAACTAAACGAATGTAACGACCTAATAATAATAATAATAATAATCGTGTAGCGTTTCACGAATTAGCCTTTCCATGCGCACGCGCCGTTTTAGTTTGTGCGTCGGCCCGATGCGATATGTTCTTCCGTTCCGGGATGAAAGCGTTTAACAAATAAGAACGCCTAAAATAATTGTAAATCGTCGTTACTTTCTATCGATTAAAAAATACGTAAGCGGCTGAACGCACACTTTTTCGATTGTTAGCGATCTGGCTCGTTCCCTCTCTGGAAATGTACGAATTTGATCTCGCGCGCGTCCCACTTCTTTGACGATGCACGAACGCCTAAGTTCTAACTCTATATCAAATAATGATATATTTATTATCGATACTCTATTATTTACATGTATTTTTTAATATATTTTCCATCGAATTTTTCCTTTATGCGAATTCGCAAAAGACAATTTTCCAACGATATTAGTTGGCTACGATACGCGTGCGAATACAACCTTTACCATTTTTTACCACTAAAAACGATTAATTATCATTGAAATATAATTCTTATCCGGAAATTAAATCGAATTCTATAATCGTTCGATGATAATATGTATTACAACAGTTCAACGGATAACGCCTAATGCAAATTTCTGATGAACGATTATATATTATAGATCGATCGATTATCCTAAAATGTAATCAAGGCGAAGCAAGATTACGCGCGAACGATGAATCGATACTAATTTAATAATTAAGGCACGATATTATATCCTTCTTACCTGCGTTTATCTTTATTGCCTGAGAAGATGAAAGATCGCTTCTCGTCAACGCGAGCTACGAATTATCAAGCAATTTCGAAACATATCCCTCTTTAGAGATACGTATTCACGTTAAACGTACATATATGTATCTTCGTTTGAAACAGAGTACATACATATCTCTTTCCCCATGCATTTCATCGTTTACATATCGAACTGAATTAATTATTATCCTACGGTCCAATTAACGAGTCGCATTCCAACGAACGATAAATGAATAGTTATATTGTTGCGAAATAAAGGCGAATAAATAAATGAAAAAGACAATTGAACGATTATATCGACGTAATGTATTTGATCGCGTGTCTGGATATAAGATTTATCATCTTTTGTACCATTAGAGATTGTTCGAGAACGATTGTTTAATGATTCGCGAGAGCAGGAACAAGCAAGCGCGTGCGAACAATAGAAAAAGATCTAACTTTACGAATAAGCTTACTGCCAATCCAATTCAAGATTCTACGATCCTGTCTTTTTCTCGATCACGGTCACGGTGTTCCTTGGATGATTTTAGATTTATGAGTACTCTTCCAACATTAAACGAGGACAAAAAAGAGAAGAAAAGAAGGATAATAAATGATGGAGGCTGGAAAGGGAAAATCAAAGAGAGAAGAAAATTCAGAAGATGCGTTCGCGGTTCGACTCCTTAAAAAACGGATAAACGTCGCAAGATATTTTCGTGTGGACAAAATTCACGCCACACGAATCTACACAGGTCAAGAATGCACACGTCTTAATTAGTTTTTTTACTTTGGATACCGTCGTTAACACGCGACCATTTTTGGCGCTATCTGTCCTAAATACTGGAGCTACACTATGTAACAAAGTACACTGTGCATTGTAAAGTGACTGTATATACAATTATAAATTATGCAATTACCTTGAAACTCTGCCATTCTTTTCACGCACACACACACACGCACGCACACACACTCTCTCTCTGAAAAATATCTCTACACACGAGTTTAGTAAAAATTCATTTATATCTAATAATCTATTTAGGCGTAATATCACATTAACAGAATCGATTTTTTCGCGAGATATTTACATCGAATCGCACTCACGCAGCAGCACGTCTCTCATAACGATCATTAATATTTTCCATTGGCATGTCGCGAATAATTTGACAAATACAATAAATACATTATAGTGTGAATCACGCCGTAAAACGGCACGAACGAATGTATCGGATTCTCTGACAGGAAAAGCACCAACAGAGGAGGCATCCATCGATGAAAGCATCGCGTAGAAATTCGGTAAACATTAACTGATCGGTATTTCTTTAGCGATCTCTTGAATCCGTCTTTTAAAGTCCTCTCGTATTTCGCCAATGGGCTTCACCAGGAATATTGGCACGTCGTCGTCCCTTCTCTAAAAACACGCATGCAAAGAAAAATATCAGATTAAAGGGATCTCCTCTCGATCGTGTCATTTATTTATTGCTGTGTGATACTTTCGACATTCCATTAAGTTATTTACCTGGAATAGACATTCCCCCTGAAATTCAATGAGACCCTGTTTTCTGGCTCTTAAAAGAAGACCAACGCATTTGTCGCTGATGTTAGTGTAAATGTTGAAGAGATCGCCAAACGTGATGCCGATGACGTCCGGTTGATCGCGACATGGCGTACCATTTTGATGAATGACATCGCATAATTCCAAAATTTCTCGAAGAATATGTGCGTTAGCTTTGCGACCGCGTATATCCGAAAGAGATCCCGCAGTTGGCCTGAAATATAAAGACAAAATTTCGACGAAACTCCTCCAAAAGTAACGAATTTGCTTCTAAAATTGAAAACGTCTCTTGAACAGCCTACGTACCTTCCGTATTCGTCTTTGGAGAATTTAGGTTTGTCGATATTCAAGCCGGCTGTAAATGGATTTTTACTCTGCGCGTCTTTGTGCTTGTTTGCATACTGGTCGAACATGGCTACCTTTGCTCCCAAAGATTCCTGAAGCCCAATTCAAGAGAAACGAATGAAAATAAATTCAGCAACTTTTCGAAATACGTTATTCTATATAATGATTTACCACTTGAATTAACGTTCCCGAATACGTCTATTCTTAACTCGATTTTCTATCAGTATGCGCGGCGCAAAACCAACGAGAATAATATCTTTTCATATAGTCGATTAGAACATTTGACTGAACGGTCGCGAAATGAGCGAAGGAAAATGACGAGTAACAGTCGCGAAAACGCTACGTTAGGTACGTTTCCTTAGGAGGCTTCTGAGCATAAAATCTATCAACGGCTTCAATGAACGTAACACATTCTATCTTATAAATAATAGAATCCTACATGAAACTATGCCTATCCAAATAATGATTTTGATTGAATGAACGAACAGTTACTAGAAAAAGTGTGTGTGTAGTACACGATAGATAATTTTCTTCTTCGAGTAAAGATTCTTTTCTTCGAGTTTTCGTTTGCCTCTGCATACTTCAATACTTATAATAGAACCGAAAAGAATAAAGCGGTAAAAAAAAAAGAAAAGCATTGAGTGACAACGTCATCCGACGTAAGCGCGTTTAATCAGCACGGAATGTTGGAAAAAGTCCAATCTTTTTCGAGAAACGCTCCGCGAATTGGCCGTGACCATAAAAGACATCTCGATGGCATTTTGACAAATTTCCGAATCTATGCTGACTGCTACATTCATACCAACGGCACGTGATATTCGCACGAGATTTTCCGCTTCTCTAAGAACGAATCTAAGGACGAATCGAGAAAGAACCCCTTTCTGCTTTGCTACAATATTTTTCTAAAACGTGACTATTATTTTACAATTATTATTTAGGAATACAATACGGATGGAAATGAAAGATTAAGGTAAGATAGAGAATCGTATGCCAAATATTGTACATTATAAATATTGTTATTTAAATTGATAAATAATGAATATCTATGTTATTAAAATGAATTAATCGAATGTAAGGAAAAACAATACTCACGAACATTACCAAAGACATGGTTAAAGCCGTAGATTAAATCGAATGTTATTACTGTGTGTGATTTGATAATTTATCAATAATTATTATGAATAATCAGTTATCCGGGAAGATGATTCTTTCGATGTTCTCGACTTGTTTAATTGCTAAAGTTTTGCGTATTCTCTACTTAAGCACGTAAATATGTAAGCTAGCCGGTGTAACGTTTCTCTTATGAATGCGTCGTCGCGACGTCGTGCGTCCTTCTTATAAGAAAGAACCGACGTCAAAAATCTCCCACCAAAGGCGGTAGATCGAGAGCGTCCGTGGACGCTCGACGAGCCCAAATATTTTCTGCTTATTCGAGCCAATTTTGTATGAATCCTTCCTTTTTGATTGGCTGCCAGCCGATCCTCCATCTCCGGAAATGATATTTCCTCGATTCACAGGAACGGAAAGTAAGCTCGATGGATTTCATTCATCTGTTCTTTCTCGAATTATGTCTATTTTTTCCTCCCAACACACGTCGATACGACCAACTAAATGCTTCTTTGCCGATCCAGCATCGTTTATCGTTTCGTCCTCCCTTATTATCAAAAAGCTCCAATTAAACTTTTATACTTTTTCGAATACTACATGAAACTATTCGGTTACTTTCTTACTTTTACGAACACTGCCTATCGTTCGAGTAAATACAAAAGAACGAGGATGCATTCCAATCTAATTTTCCCTAGGCCATAGACAAAAATTTACTTTCATAACGAAAGTAAATATTTCATTTTCAGGTATGCAGGTAGATATCAATTTGCCTTCGCAGGAAATTAATAATCGAAAGATAAAATAAAAAAGATGCTTCTCGAAATGATCGTGCATCATATTTGCGCAATTAAGTAATTTATTCGGATTTCAAATCCCCCTATCTACAATTCAAATTCGCGACAGTTTAAATCTTTACTTCGTAGGGCGATAAATTAACTCTGGCAAAAGTAAAACTTAATCCAAGCCATCAAAATGGCACTAGAAATTATTACGATATACTTTCATTCTATTCGATAGTGCCAAAACGCTCTTTGAGTTTCTCCGAGGAACACGCTTCTGTCGCGTGAAAATGTTTAACATTTTAATACGAAAGATCGTAAAGAATTAACGAAAGACTTTATATGTATGTAAATGCGAAATTGGTGCATTTTAATTGCATCGAATCTCAATATAACACGACGACGACGACGACGACGACGACGACGACGACGACGACCGTCTTAATTAGGCTTATTTGAGTCTGAGAACAAACTATAGTCAAAGGTTATTATTACCTTACACCAAAATGAACGAGAAAGCAACGCGAACTAAACTGATACCTAGAGAAGATAATCTATCTATTGGAAATGAGGAGATTCTTGTATGGAAATTCGTGCTCATTGAAAAATACATTCGGAGAGTATAGAGATGTGACTATGGAAATTGTTTTTGAAATCTGAAAACGCAAACACTCGGCCGGAAACACGAAATTAGATATCTGTTTTACGTCGTCTCGGCATCAATGAACGTCTACGTCAGCGACCGTGACGGTACGATGATGCTTTCTCACTATAATAGTAAATGTAAATTCTTGGGATACGTAGGACTGTGAGTCGTCTTTGACGCGTAGGTAGATATCACGAACGATCTAACAATAAGTACCTAAATTTATCCGATGTTTACGCTCTAAGCAAGATTTTTCAATAAACCGATTCATTCCACATTCGTTTCGTCGAATTTACCTAAAGTTCAACCTGAAGCTCGTCGACTATATTAGTATTGGGATTCTTCAAAATCAAACTCACAGATATTCTTAATATCGTTTGACAAATATGTTTGACATATACGAAACATAGATTTCAGTGAATTTTTCAACAGCGATAAGCGCGACATTGCTACTCCAGTTAATCTATCTTTTTATCTTATGGATTAAATATCCGTCCTCGTAAACGTCGTTGGAGCTAACAAAGAAAAACTCGGGAAAAAAGTACAATAAAATATTTTTTAGAACTATCGTCGATCGCGCGCGATTCGTTGATCGTCTTTAATAAATAATCTAAAATAAAACGCGATATTAGAGTTCTTGAAGGGGGACATGGGTTTCGTGCATTATTTTGTTCGCCTAGCTCTCATTCCGAAGAATGCAATAAAACGCAAGGAAGGCACGAGATCAGAGGTCAACCGCGCGCTAACTGGGCTAACTATAAATAATTCTTGAGCGGTCTATGGCACAATACTCGCTCGCTGTTTCGCTCGTGTGCTATCTCAATGAGAAGCACAAGGTGTTTGTATAAACAACGATCGCGTAATATGTATTACAGAAATCTTAGACGTAATTCTATTAATGCACATTAATGAACTCTGCACAAATTTAGAATCAAATTTAGGATCTAAAGTCGCGCGACGTAAACCTTCCTACCGGAATTTTTAAGGCACGCTCTTGTAAATCGTACGCCACATGTGTGTGGACATAAATAATGAACAAATTCATTTCTACAATCTTTTTTGCATTATGTGCTTTTTTATAAAGAGAAGATACACAGATATATGGATAAACTGACGTCGAGTTATTAATCTTTCACGAGGCTTCGTGCAACTATTAATTGAATCAAAAGCAAACTCCACAGGAAGTTTCCGTGTCGTTGACCGTTTCCAAGGGAGTTAGTATAAATAAGCAAAGATACGCTCTTCGATTGGAAACAAGGGCGACGTGTGGCGCCTCATCAAGGTCAAGATTAAAAAAAGTAATCGACTATTTCGATGACCGACCGAACATTGGTTCCATTTTTAAGGACGCATACGAGCTTATCTCTCGCGTCTGAAATGACGCAAAGACGATCCCCAATCTCGTATCTTGAAAAATTACTTTTCGAGGTGAAACAAGATTTCCCGTTTTTCGTTAGAAACGTATGTATATGTGCTCGGACGACGTTCCAATGGTTGCACGAAATCGCAGCATAATTCATGAGTGGCCCCTCATAAATTTCCCGCTCGGACGAGTCATTGCGTGGAAAGCGTAAATGCGAGAATAAATTTGTGACGCGTCAGCGAACGATTTATTCGAGAGACCCGACATTTCCGTAAATCGACTAAAAATATCTGACCCGGGGATTGGAAAAATGAAAAACGAAAATGAAAAAGGAAAAATGAAAAATGAAATAGGCCTCGAATTCCTTCTAACGCCTTCGAATTTCTATTTCCTTTTAAAAGCGGACAGGTATTGGAATTTGCTCGAAATTCGCGGTACACTAGTTTCCTTTCTTTAAATAATATCGTCGATACTCGTCAAAGAAAGTCGTTCTGGGAAATAATAAATACGGGGAATAATGTCACGATGCAAGAAGGCATAGAAATTTGGGAAGATTCATCTTAGCTAGCAAGCGGACCCGGAAATCGCCACTAAAAATTATTTTCTCTCGAAGTTATTATTTTTGGCCGCGTGCGTCACGCTTTAGGATTCCAAGTTTACTAATCGTTTATCTTTCGAATCAAAAATCGTTCCTATTCCCCGTTTCATCGACATCCGTTGGCTTGAAAAAATAAACGATTTATCAGAAATATAAGGTACTTTCCTCGTTGTACGTGTACGACAACGACGACGACGACGACAACGACGACGACGACGACATTTATAAAACAAACTTGTTTTAAACGCCGACAGTCTTTGCGTTTTGCCAATAAACTATAAGCATATTTGCATGCATATTTGCGATCTATAATATAATTGGTACCTATCTTGAGACAGCGAGAACATTGTTCTCTCTACAAGTTATAGAGAATCTACTGACCTCGGATGAATCGGAATCGTTGTCCATTCTCGAAAATATAATCAAATTCCAGACGTCTTAGAAATACAATAATGATTTCGATATGGAGCTAATAACAACACCGAGTGAAGCAGCAAGCGATGACTTTGCTATGACGGTGGGCTTCTATTTTCGATTGACTGCATCGAACACGTGGTTACCAAATGACCAAGTGACTTACGAAAACTTAACATATACTTTAGGAGAGTCCAATTTTCTATTTACATACATACGTACTTAAATATGTATGAGTATTTCATACGATTAATATATATATCGCATATGTATGAATGCATCAGAGCATTTCAAAAAGACGCAGGTAGTTTTTGACAGATCTGTATTCGAAAGTATTTGATAACAATGAGTGCATATAAATATGTATCCGTGTACATAATCAGATATCAATCGTACAAAATACAAAATGTCTCAAGCTCTTTCATTGAAAGATATAAAAGAAAATGGAGAAAGAAAATAGGATCAAAAAAAATTAAGTTAAGCTTTGAAAGTACTCGATGTGAAAGCCCTCTCGCGTTATCAAAGAAAATCTCCATAGTCGATTCGATATTGCGAGATGAAAAGAGAATGAGAGAAAGAGAGAAAGAAAGAAAGAGAGAAAGAGAGAAAGAGAGAAAGAGAGAAAGAAAGAAAGATATATAGATAATATAAGATAGACGCGGTCGGAAGCGCAAGCTCGAAGAAATCTGGCGCTTGCGCGAGCTTCGCTGCGTTTTGCAAGCCGCGCGAATAGAGGTCGTTCGTGAGCTGCCGTCTCCGTTCAACCCCCGTACACATAGAAGAGTCTCTCCCACCCTCCCACTCTTCACCGTTTACCGTGTTTTAATCCGCGACATATCACGGAACGGACCACGAGAAGTAAAGTACGCGCAAACTGCATTCGCCAAATTCTTTGGCCTAATCTTCTTCCTCGTCTTCTTATTTATTTTGGTGACTCTACTACAGCCGGTGAGTAAACGCAATCCGTTACTTTCTGTTGCTTGAAGAATGCACGATCGCTAAACTCTCTCTTTCTCTGCGAATCGATTTGCTTTGCCAATGCCCTGGCTAACAACGCGCGTTTTCCAGATATTGACAATTATAAAAAAGATCAAATATCGCGTAACTAGTCATATACTAGGTATATGCATTGTATCGGATCGATATGTATTCCTGAAGATGGAGAGGGTAAAAGAAAGGAGAGAAAGAGAGAGAGAGAGAAAGCAAAATATGACCGGTTTTCCGGCTGTTGGTCAAAAGAAACGGTATAGCAGGACATATTGATTCGAGCGCGTCGCGACCTACGAATCCGCCCTTAAGTTCCTCCCTCTCCCTTGCCTTCTCTTTTTGACATCGGCGAGCAGCGCAACGCGGAAAATCTCAGAAACGCTAGTGCATTTTCACCGCGAACAGCGAAAAGTAGAAGAATTTTGTCATCTAGTCAAACATTCTATTTCTCCAACCCTTTCTCTTTGTATTTATAATAAGAAAGACTAAAACCGACCATTACAATAATGCAGTTTCTAAAAGACGCGTAAAGTTCTTTTATGCACCGTTCTAACGAAAGGTAACATTTTATTATCAGTTCTGATAGGTTAAGAGTAGGATGGATCATTCATATTTTTCTTCTATTAAAGTACCTCTGTTTCCCTATAACACCCTCATCGTTAGATAATAACCAACGCGTTCTAAAATTGTTGCGCGATATGCTGCAATCGTATGGCTTGAAAAGAAGATTGATAAATACGTCCATACATGACTGGATATTTAGAAGAAAAAAAAAAGGTAGCAAGTTGCAATAACGATCTTTCGATCTGGAAACATACCCTAAAACGCCGAAGAAGATTTACGAAGGAAGATTATTCGGATAAGGTTTCTCTCTGTCTCAGCGACAAAATAAGTGAACGTCGTTTCTTCGACAATGGTTACTACGGACAAACACAAAGACAGATATATAGGAAAGTGATAGAAGATAGGAATCGAGAAAAATCTACTTTCCACTAGCTGTAGTTTATAATTAGAAGAATACAAATACGCGAATTAAAGTTGCTCGCCGTGTGAAATTGGCACCGCTCGATGATGCTCATGCTTTTGATATCTTATCGAGATTTTCCTTCTAAAGAGAAACAAACAGAGAAATGTCAGGTAAAATCTACTTCCTCAAAGTACAACATTCGCTAGTGCTTCCAATTTCGAAAATAATTCGTAGAATAATTCATGCGTAGTAGAACACACCGTAGAGAAAATCCTCTAATTTTCGAGAGCACCCCTTTTAGTCTCTTAACAAAAATCAATACTCGTGCACCTATCTTTGGGACGCGGGAATGGAGATTGTTATTGCACTTCTTCCTAAACAACGCGGAAATTAGGATATTCGTTTGAATGTCGGACATCGAAACTCTTAGGCGGGAAGACGCGCGCACGGTTGCAATGCCTCGCGCGCAACGAACTTTAACCCCGACGGCTCCTTGATAGCACCTTTCTGTTTTCAGGGTTTTGTTAAAGCTTCCAAATGGGCAAAGAAAAGATCCACATAAACATCGTGGTGATTGGTCACGTGGATTCGGGAAAATCCACGACCACCGGTCATCTGATTTACAAATGCGGCGGTATCGATAAACGTACGATCGAAAAATTCGAAAAAGAGGCCCAAGAGATGGGCAAGGGCTCGTTCAAGTACGCGTGGGTTTTGGACAAATTGAAAGCCGAACGCGAGCGAGGCATCACCATCGACATCGCCCTTTGGAAATTCGAGACGGCCAAGTATTACGTGACAATCATCGATGCGCCAGGTCATCGTGATTTCATAAAAAACATGATAACCGGTACGAGTCAGGCCGATTGCGCGGTCCTTATCGTGGCCGCTGGTATCGGTGAATTCGAAGCTGGAATTTCAAAGAACGGCCAGACCCGCGAGCATGCCTTGCTCGCGTTCACTCTCGGCGTAAAACAGCTGATCGTCGGCGTAAACAAAATGGACATGACCGACCCACCGTACTCGGAGAGTCGATTCGAAGAAATAAAAAAGGAGGTGTCGTCCTATATCAAGAAGATCGGTTACAATACGGCGTCGGTAGCGTTCGTCCCAATTTCTGGCTGGCACGGCGACAACATGCTCGAGTCGTCCCGAAAAACGCTCTGGTACAGGGGCTGGAAAGTCGAACGTAAGGACGGCAACGCCGATGGCAAGACTCTGATCGAAGCACTCGACGCCATCTTACCGCCATCGAGACCAACCGACAAAGCACTTCGTTTGCCTCTCCAGGACGTTTACAAGATCGGTGGTATCGGCACCGTGCCCGTTGGTCGCGTCGAGACCGGCATCCTCAAACCAGGTGCGTTCGTTGACCCTCCCCTTATTTTACGAAAAGATGCTTTATCAAGAATGTCGGATATTTAAACAGGAATGTTGGTGACCTTCGCTCCGGCTGCACTTACCACCGAGGTGAAATCCGTCGAGATGCATCACGAGGCCTTGACGGAGGCCTTGCCAGGCGACAACGTTGGTTTCAACGTCAAAAACATTTCGGTTAAGGAGCTGAGACGCGGCTACGTTGCAGGGGACTCGAAAAATCAGCCACCTCGCGGCGCGGCCGACTTCACCGCCCAGGTGATCGTTCTCAATCATCCCGGACAGATCAGCAACGGTTACACGCCAGTCCTCGACTGCCATACCGCTCATATCGCCTGCAAATTTGCCGAGATAAAGCAAAAGTGCGACCGCCGTACCGGTAAAATCACCGAAGAGAATCCAAGGAGTATAAAAAGCGGGGACGCGGCCATCGTGATATTGCAGCCGAGCAAGCCAATGTGCGTCGAGGCATTCCAAGAGTTCCCGCCTCTTGGTCGTTTCGCTGTGCGCGATATGCGTCAGACCGTTGCCGTGGGCGTCATCAAGGTACGAACGCGACGAGGAGAATTCCTTCCAATCAGATTCCTTACCCTTTAAATATTATTTCTTTGCAGAGCGTCAATTTCAAAGACACTCAGGGCAAGGTTACAAAGGCCGCGGAAAAGGCCCAAAAGAAAAAGTAACCATCAAGCTTCCTCGGAAGGTCCAAGTTGACGACTGGTCGGCGCTCCAAAAATGCCGCCGCCACCACCACCACCACCACCACCACCGGCAGGGTCTTTTATTCCAGCATGGCGCAGTTCACCACCGCTGTTCCTACGTTCGATCCTCACTCGATTAATATCAAAAGTGAAAAGATGTTCTGCTTGCCCCCGTTACATTACCCAATAGTATTGAATCCGCGCATCTATCCGAACCTGCACATACAATTCACCCATACCCCGCGCACCCCTCACATATGCTAGGGTTCATTGGGTTTTTACTTAATTATTACGTCGACGGTGTGTGTGTGTGTGTGTGTCCATTTACAGGTAATTACTCGGTTTCCTTGGACTCTGTGTAGTAGTTAGGTTTTTCAATTAATATATTGATGAAAGAACGAAAAGACAGGCGGGATGCGCCGTTGTATGACGCATTATTATTCGACGACGTTCTGCGTACGAGGCAGCGTGCCACCCCCGACTAACAAGGCAAAAACGCTGATGGAAAGATAGAATTGACTAAAATAAAAATAGCGTCCAACGTGGAGAACCAGATTATAACTTTCATCTCTTTCACCATTTGCCCCTCTGCATTTGTCTTTAACAACGCGCACTTGCAAAGAGAGCTTTACTTTAAACTAGCCTGCGCTAGTTTGTTCAAAATCCGCTGCCTCGCATTCCCGTACTTTTAATCAATTCGTTTCGAATAATTCGTTAAGGCTGATTTGTTCGAAAATTTGGTTGTCTCGTTGTAATTCATTTGACTACTTATATAAGAATATCTATATCTATTATTTATCATCTCTTTCAATTTTATCAACTCATCTCTTAATAATTCTTTCTTGTGACTCGCAACAAGATGAACAGAGGCAACGTTCGATCGTAAGGGCGCGAGTCTCCTTACCAGCCCTCATCGCCGTTGATTCCTTCACCGGTGAATTCTGCATTCCTCCACCGCTCCACACATTCCATTCTTCGTCATTCCCTATCTGTTTCTATATTCTCATAGACGCGTTCTATAATTGTTTTGCCCCTTAGCCAGATATTATGTTAAAAATAAATAATAAAAACAAAATTTAATTGCATATCGCAAATCGTCTTTTTTCTTGTCATCGAAGATTTCTTTAGTCCAGATAATAATATATTGCTAATATTGTACGATTGGTATATAATACATGGGTGAGAATACAAACTACCATCTATACCCACAATATATATATATATATATAATCAATTTATGGTAAATATAATTTATTTCGCAATAAATTCTTTGTGATAAAGTTACAACTAAACATAAAATTTACAAATATATTTGATGCAACAAGTCGATCTTGCAATGAGTTCAATGTAATATAGGTCTTTGTCAGTCTTTAGTCGCTGAGACCTGTTTCGCGAGACATCTAAATTATCCCGCGATCGAACGTGACACGAGTTCACTTTATGATTCAAACCCGACACGTATACGTTGATGTCTTCAAAGTGTGTTGGCGCGCTCGCGCACGTCTCTGTGTAGGCACTTTCGGACGAACTCATATTAGAACTATTTTACAGATTTAACATATAACGTTCGAGCCTATTGACAAATGCTGTTTGGCAAATGATCATTAATTATTAACGCAATCTATGAACTTTCGCGGAAAAAATAAAGTAATTTATATTGGTCTCTACTTTCATACGTATACGAAAAAAGAGAATTACGAATTACGAAGCGTTCCTTATTTTTGCTGAATATTGCATGCGCGGAAGTCGCATCTTATTAAAAGAAAAAAAAATTAACAAGAAGAGAAAAATTAAAGATCTAAAGAAAAAGCGAACAAACAATGTAAATAATGAAGAACAAATGATGAAATGAAGAATTAATAAAAGCGCGGTACAAGCACTTGCCAACCAATTCCATGATCATAAACCGACCTAACATCGTGCTTGGTCCTTTACGATCAAACTTCTTCCTAGAAGTGACGTCTTCACTTTCTTTCCAAGATTCTTGAGATGACTCCATGTGGAAGGTGAAAGGAAAGAGATCACAAAAAAAAGACAATAAAGAATGAAACAGAAGAATGGGAGAAGGAATAAGAGTAACAAGACGAGAGGCAAGACACACCGAAACAAAAGTGCGAGCAGAAGCTTCTCTTCGTAATATTCAAACATATTTTGTCTACTTCTAATCGTTTGTTCTTTCGAACGATTGTAAATGCTAAAGCAACCCACAGCCTCGGTAATTGAACAAAATTTGCTCTCGACATATTGCGCGTGGATGCGCGCAATGTGCTCGACAACTAATAACAGTAATCGTTAGAATAATAACAATAGTCTTAATAATAATAATTATTATTCTCATTATTATTATTATTATTATTATTATAGTAACAATAACAGTAACGTTAATAATAAAGAGGACTCCATTTGTCGAAACGTAGTTTGTTCTCTCCTAAATACATATACTATATCCGTAAAAATGGAACAAATTTATTCTCTCGAATAAATAAATTTGTCTTTTCAATATATATGAGCCGTTTATTTAGAAAGTAGCATAAATCACTTTTTTTTTTGTAAAATGAAAAGATACCGTTCAATTATAATTAGTGTTGCAATTAACTCGATTTTTTTGAAAAAGTGACTTATGCCACTTTCAAAATAAACGGCTCATATATATACATAGTAAAATGCAATACTTTTGTGCAATACTAGAACTATCAAAAACGTTCTATCGAAATAAAATGGAACTAAAACGATTAATCGCAAGATGCGGAGGTACGAATGTTCGCACTATAGGATATATCATTCCTGCGTATAGGAATATCTCCATTTAGACGAGTCACTCTTTTCCATAAATGGAGTCCTGTCATATACGTATCGTACTTAAAATATGTATACATATATATAGTAGGTACATAATATTGCATTCAATATTGTGCCGACAATATTTGTCGTCGTGATGCGTTCTTTCGTTTCGTAAAAGAACCATTGATATTTTTCACGAGTTTATTACAAAGAGAAAAGGTGTCGTAATATACGCCGAATACAGGGACGCTGCAAAACGCTTCGCAAATATTCCGGAATGTTTTTCGAATAGTTCGTGAATCCAGAAAAGATGACAATGCGATGCGTCTAATCGTGCGCTAGTAAATAGCAAAGGAAAGAAGTTTTAGATCCGAATATTTCGATATTTTTCGGGATCTTGTTTTCTTGAATCCCTTTACGTTTGATAAATCGGACTATGTTGCGAGGACCAGGGGATGGCTCCGTTTACGATGTTGCTCGTCAAAGTTGTTATCGTTGGATCCGTCGCAATCGCCGTCGCCGTCGCCGTCGTAGTCGACGTCGTCGTCGTTGACGTTGTCGTCGTCGTTGACGTCGTCGTCGTCGTCGTTGTCGTCGTCATCGTCATCGTAGTCGTCGTCGTCATAGTTGTCATCGTCGTCATGGTAGTTATCGCGGTTGGGCTAGCCGCTGATGGCGACATCGAATGTTGCTGATTAAAATTGACGGATATGGTGATCGGATGAAGGACCGTGTCAGGTCCGTTGTCTGGAATAAGTCCAAAGTGAGGGCTCAACATGGAAGCCTCGACGGTGAGAGGAACGTAAAAAGCCCCGCCATCGTGAAGTGCGAAAATTGGCACGCCATGAGAGGAATTGTTTTGTTTTTCAGGACTCGCGCACGGAGAAGGGCTCGACTTGATTCTCTCAGCGGAAAACCTCTGTTTGATCGAACTTTTGAACTTGTAATTCTGAGGACGATAGTTATTACTCGCGCTAAGAGGTGTACTGTGCGAATGGCTGCTGTGGTTACTGTCGTCGCTGAGGATCGTGGGCGGTGGTATGACGATGCCGGAGCTGTAACAAACACCGGAATGTCCGCCAATCGGACGCGGAGGACGTTCCGAGTCGCCGAAGGAACTCACGCCCGAACTCGAGCCGTGATCGGAGTGAACGGTAGGTTGACATATCATCGGTATGCTCGTGTGATCGTAACTCGTAACGCTCGTACTACCGCAATTCGATATTGGCAGCATCTCGGGCTGAGGAAAGCCCAACCTGTCGCCTAAAATAAGCCATTCGTTTGAAATAAACACAAACAACGTAGATTTATAGATTATAGAGGATAGACATACGCACTCGTGGCCAAGATCTTCTCACAATGCTGCTGCAAATGATTGGTCAACTGCACGCAAAGAGAATCCCTAGCGTAGAAGCCCTCGACCTCAATGAGAAAGTGCATCGTTTCGCTGAGGCACTCTTGAAATCCCAGTCTGTAGTGCTCGGTTGCGGTCGAGGCCGCCGCCGCCGCCGCCGCCGCCGCCGCCGAATGGGAAATGCTGTCAACGCTGTCTTCGGGGTGCGCGTGCACAGGTGTCACAACGCTCGCCTGCTTCGTCTCTAAATGACAAACCGAGCAAAACCATCCGTCATCATTTTTTCATCTGCTCGCGAAAAACATCGAAACGAAGGACGAGAAAGGGTGGGTGGGTGATTAACTTAATGGCACAACGTTAAAGCAAGTAAAGTAGCAACCTTGTCGAAGACCTTGCAGGTGTTTCATATGACGTATAGCCATCTCGATGATCTCGGTTTTTTCCACTCTGCCGCGACCCTTCTTCAAGTATTCCGCGGGAATCAACCTGCTGAGATCGGCGAGACAATTGTTCATTCGATCTCTTCTGCGTTTCTCGATGATCCTATGCGACATCGGATCTTGCTGTAAAGGAAAAACGAATAATCGTTACCAACGATCACATTTATCGAGTAGTTGCGCGCACGCAAATACTATTAATTAAATCTTTCCGAGATTTCAAAAGCCCCTTGACGACTACTTTATTATCGCAACACTCGCCATTACTAAATAATGTTTATTCAAATTTCAAGTTATAATCGCATTCAATTCGCAAGTAACAATAAATCCCAGTCCGTCGATACTAACAAATGTGCTGTATATAAAATGTACTATAATATTACTCTATAATAGAACTCTATATATAACTATATATATATGTTATTATTTGTCAGTAGAGATTGTTTGGTAGATGTAGAATTGAACGGAACTATCTTTGGCGTACGTCCAACGAAACATTTTCGTATCCGAGTAATCGAGTACAGACGCGTAAAAAATTTGTTCTTCCTTTTATATCATCGAATCAATCTTTACCTCTTTGTTTAAGCAACGTCTTTTCCTTGGTGGTGGTGAATGTACCGACGCGTCGACGTGATTAGTCATCGGATAGTATTGCATATTCAAAATATTATCCATACTGTGTGTGACCATTGTGCGTTTCCGCGATAAGATGACAGAAAGAAAGAAAAAAAGAAAGCAAAGCGCAGCAAAAAAAAAGTCGCAAATACAATAATTGTATTATTTGTCGTAACACTTAATGTAACAATAATTAACACATAATTTGATAAGAAAGCACTAATGCACCAAGTGTCAGTAATGAAATAGTTGCAAATCGTCGAGTAACGGGGTAATATTTATTAGTTTCGCTACAGATATGCGAAAGATAAATATTATTAGCACTACGCGAATAATATAAAAAATAATATATTGTTTAATATATATCAGAGAGAAACGTCCTCCTTTACGAATGGCAGGAGAGCGACTACGTTCCACCGGCCTCGAAGCTCTTGTTACTTTAGCGGCGGACGGAGATGTCGCTCGGTGATGACGAGAAACCGACGTCACGTGTTGCAAACGCCATGCACTACGCCCAACACGTGAGCCAACGAACCTATCCTTCAATCTACGCATATACCTACACAATCTGCAATATATAATGTACTGCACACGTACACACACACATGCATCTTTACTAGCTAATATACGCTTACTTATGTGCTTGGTATGCGAGCGTACATATCAAGTACGACTTACAATTAATCGAAACTTTCGGTTGCTTATCTCTGCGGCGCGTTCGTTCTGATCTTTTCATCTTCTTTCTCCGATTCCGTAATAACAGACTATTATAATATTAAAAACGATCGACGAAAATAGCTAAGACGGTGTTACTTTTTTAATATCCTTAGTAAAGCCGTGTGTAGCCTAACCAACGTCAGATATGTACTTCAAACATTTAACATTTAAACCGGGTAGAAGGATTTTTTCGAATAGTAATAGAAATAGATTTCTCCCCTTTCTCTCAATTTCCTCTCATTTCTCTCTCATTTCACCCTATTTCTCCTTATTCTACGTGACAACTTTGTACGTCCAAGAATGTATTGCATAAGTACATATGTACATAAATACATAGATATGTACGTATACTTTGTAAATGTCGTCAATATTTTTTCTCTACCGAAAAGAAGAGGTCATCGAAGTCCCGTTAGATAAGCGGGATGAACTGGATATAACCGAGCTTTTTTTTTTAAGTTATACTACCCGCGAGAAAGAAAGCAAAGAAAAGATATTTCGCAAATCGTTATTTTGATGAATCTAATGAAATAACTTGAAAATGTTTTATAATAATCAGGCAACATCAACCACACGTCATTTCCTGATGAATGATCTCTCTACATCTATATATAATAATATAGATATAGAATAAAACGACGAGTCAACGTTACGAACCGCGCATTGACCTCAAATACTCCCCGAAGGAAAAAGACTATTCTGTTGATGCAAGAGAAAGATGAAAAAATATCGGACAAGTATGGAAACCGCTTTAACGAGGTCGAGATATCACATTGCCCGGTTATAACCAGTCCAAGAAGACGTTCTCGTATTATGATCAGAGTTTATCAAGAAGGAGTCAATCTTGCTGTTTTTCAAACGATAACTAGACGTCACCGGATTCCGACCACATTTACGGGAATAACAACAGCGTAACTAAGGCGAGACGAGAAAAAGGGAAAGAAGAGGGAAAAAGAGGAAAAAAGAGGAAAAATGAAGAAAAAAAAAAAAGGAGCAACCAAGCATTTTATACAAAGTTCGGCATATTCGACAGATTCGACTCGAAGCAAACTAGTTAGTCCAAATGAATTTCATTTGAAATTCATACTAGAAAGAGATGAGACGACAGCTGTTATCCGCGACAGCTGGACCGGCCTCGCCGCTTAAATATATTCTAAACAACTCAATGACGCGCGTTGGAGGATAGAAAAAAATCGACGCATTTGACGCAAATGTCTGATTCACCAATCATACGAAGAGAAGACTTATCCAACGAAAAAATAGCCTACCGATTATTCGTCTATTTGTAATCATCATTCGCAGCAACGAGAAGCCAATAAGAGGTGACAAAGGGTTGGCAAGTATACAACGAGATCAAGGTTTTCCGACAATATCCGCTTTTGTAGAATATGCGTTTAATATCGGATTAGTTTTTGTATTACAATTAGTAGTCGCATTGGTAAGCCTTCTATGAAATTCGTTTTAGCGAGAATCAAGATGCACGCGCTCCATCCCAAGAAAACGCGCATCGGACGAGTAATCACGTGCTGCGCGTTGTTTACCGTTCTCGATGCAATAAGTGGGAATACATTATTTTTGTCGAATGACAAAACGACAACGACAGGGAGCAAAAAAATATAGACGACGACGACGACAAGAGCAACTATAAAAAGCACTTGAGAAAAGTCAAGCTCGTTCGAAAGATCGTTCGAGTTACAGCCTACCTTTTAAATACCACGTCGCGTCATTTCAATATACAAATTTACGGAATTAAGAGAAAAATAACTAATCTGAATACGCATATTTATTATACACACGCATTATACACACGCATTATACACACGCATTATACACACGCATTATACACATGTATTATACATGCAAATTTTACATATCCTGATCGCGAATTGTTAGGAAATTATTTTGTTAAATAGAAATTAAAGACAAAATAATATAACATATTATCGATATATCATAGGATATAAATATGACAAAAACTAAAGAAAGTTAAATAAGAAGAAATAAAGAATCTGACTAAAGACGATTCGATCCGACCAAAGAAGAGAGAGACCGACCGCTTTCGAAGATACTAATAGCATTGCGCGAAGTCCAAGTTGATAATATCCGGTAGCTCTTTTATTCGTTGGAAACTGGAAATAATCGTGAGTCGTCGAATCAAGCTCTCGTGACGCTTCGGCTTGTGCCAATAAATCTCGATTCGTGGCACGTGACGCAAGAAAAAGAGATCCCCCTTGTAGACTCCGATAAGGAGAGTTAAAATATTTTAAATAAAGAGACAAAAAGAAAGAGAGAGGGGGGATGATCGTATTCACTGCTCGACAAACTGATAAAGTGCGGAAATTGATAAAGCGTGCGTGCGTGTGTGTGCGCGTTTGTGTGTGTGTGTGTGTGTGTATGTACGCGCGTCTCTCTGTTTCTCTATACGAATAATACATACGTCTTAAATAGGATTCGTGCCATCTGACCTGTCAACTTTTTTTCTGCTTAAATCCAGCTCGTTCAATCCAGTTCTCTAAGTTTATATTAACAAGAGGATTAGATCATCTAATAAGACATTCATGCAAAACGATCGTAATTGAGTGTGTTACCGTCACAAATTAGAATTTAGGTGGATCAAAATGACAAAATATTATATTAGACAATATTTCGAATATCTTCTCATACATATGTATATTAGAAGAACTTTAATTCTTATTTTTCTAACATTTATCGTGTTTCTCGTGACATAGTCATTTATCGATGAGAATTGTTCGCACTTATTGTCGCGCACGGAATAAAGTTGAAACGAAGATAAAACGATAGCAAGCGGGAAATACCGAATAACCGCTAGTCGCGATTTAATCTTATTTTCGCGTTGTTCGGCAGATAATCTGCGAAAGCAGTTAGATCTCTCGATTTTGACTAATAAAAATCCAATTGACCACTTAATATTGTTCTTTTTCCGTTTTTATGAAAAAGTAAGGAATATCTTCTTTTAGCTCGAATATTCGAAGAACAATTGTTCAGTAAGAAACGATTTGATCCTGACAATAAATCGATTATTCCAAGTTGATCAAAACGACTGTTAAATTTAATCAGAAATGATGGCTAACCAATAAATGGTAATTCGAAGGAGAAAGAGAAGGCTTTCCGATGACGTCAGCCGTAAACATTGGTAGATTTCAAGGAACGATAGAAAATGCAGGCAACCAAACAAGCGAGCAAGCAACGACGACGACGACGACGACGAAAATGTCGAACGACTTTCGAAATTGTTCGGACAGCGAGCTCTTACTAAAAGCATCGAAGGAAAGGAACAGACACTCGTGACCCGAATTATCTCGAGACACGTACACGTGTCGACGATACGTGTCGACGATACGCGCCGAAAAAGATAGACAAAGCGAACGAAGATAGTGGCCATGAAAAATCTGACTACCGTCGATCTATGCTCCCTTCGCGTTTCAATTTTATACATTCTCGAGAAGGATCAATTGTGACGTTGCTTGCAAATTCACTAAATTATTCTTTCTAACCATTATAAAATTTCGACTAAAAATGTCTACCTTCAAATCTGCATCGGTATTATTTTTGAAAAATAAAAAAAAAGGAAGAATTAAAGTAAATAAAAAGTTATTTTGTCGTGCTTATGCAACATATGTGTACAAAAAGTCACATGTGTACAAATCTTATATTGGACCTTGCCTCTCAATTGACACAGCAGTTATTAGAAGAGAGAACGAACGCATAACGTGATCGATTCTGAGTCATAGCCATGACCGAGAAAGCAACCAGGTATTCCCACCGTCGATTAATCGATCCGGCGGCATAAAATTGCTTTCGTGTCACGAAATACGCGTGCCACGTGCGTTAACTCGCACGTACCGCCTTGACCAATCATGTTTAGAAATGCCGCCTAGAAGGAGTGAGTTCTATGGGTACTTTTCATTCGATTTCATCGACTGCCAAACTTTATAGTTACAGAGGCCGTTTAATAAATATATAGATATCCACTTTTTTTTTATAGGGAAACAATAAATGCGAACAATTAGAAAACACCTCTATTAGAAACAGTCCAATCAAGCAGCTTGCGTCATCGAAAGGAGAACAACTCGAAAGGATTCGCTATATCCGCGTGCAATATTGTTGCTTATAGGTTGTTGTGTCGGATGATCAATCGGTGAAGGATTAAGCGGTCCATTACGCAACATCCAATCGCCGAGTATTACGCAAGCGTAGATAAAGCCTAAGTTTCCTCTTCGTTTTATTTCGATGACACGGCTCGCCGACAATCGTTATCGGCTCTCGTCATTTCCCTTCCACGTAATTATATAGAGTATGTTGATATTTGGAATACTTAAGGGCTATTTCCATTCGAAGTCGAAGAAAATATTAATACCGTCTTTTTGAGAATTTTAATATTGTAGTCGGATATAGAACCTTTCTTCAAAATCTACGCAAGATAAAGAGTTTGTTCTTCAAAGTATTCGTGAAGTATCAACGTGAAGTATTAACGTGAAATCAACGTGAAATCAACGTGAAATCAACGTGAAATCAACGTGAAATCAACGTGAATTCAATAATAAATACAAATTATTAAATACAGACATTGTTTGTGTGTGCGCGCGCGCTGCATTCAAATGCAGGTATAGCAAAAAAAGACACGATTAGGGGAGAGAGGAAGCGAGAAAAGAACTTGACCTCGAGGTCAAGAAGCAGCGGCCGGCCGTCGTCGACTTGAGTAAACGTAGGAAGAACATATCCGTGTCCGACGAGAGAAAGACGATATGCAAACCCAGACACTAAAAACGTTCATAAGACTTATGTAAAAGTGGCACGACCATCGCGTCCAACTGACCGACGACCGATCACAACTGGTAATCCAAAGCATTAGCTCTAACGTTAAACATTGTCAAAGTATTTTTCATCTCTTTCGCCTCGTCACTCGAAATTATGAGCAAGATACGAACTACACTAGCCCGTTAAAAAGGGAAAGAGAAACATTTGTTTAGAGTATCCAAGTAATAAGCTGTACTTTGAACGCGACGCAACGCGACTCGCGCAGCTGCACGTGATCGGGCAAACGCGAGTGTGCAACAAACGAAACAGCTCTGCATACAGCATATGTAAATACATATGTACATATATACTTAGAATATTTTACCTCGCCACATTAGCCACACTCGCGTCTACATTTTCGTCAGTTTTATCGCTTTCTGCTCTAATCGAGTAGATGTGTACGTAGATTTCTACCAAATTCTATTTACATCGAACTGCAATACATATGTCGAAATTAGAATAAATCCAATCATCTTTTTTCATCAAGTTTCATTTCATCGAGATATCGAATTGAAGAAATGTCAAGTAGGTATATGCGTGTGTAATATTTGTGTAAACGCTTTGCGATCTGAAAGAATAATGAAAAGTCGCGTGAAGTTTTAATCGTTGCTTGATCGTTATTCATTTGTCAACGATTCGGTCCCTTCTCCCACTTTTCGAAGATTCATTATTCCTTCTGGTCCGCTCATACACAAGGGATTACAATTGCATCTACGTTTAGCGTACATTTTGGTTGCGCACGAGAGACGATCGATAAGTTTCTTTTAATTAAATAGTCGAAGCATGATAAACAGGGATTCAAAGGAAAGACTCTAAAAAGCTGTTTACGTTTCAATTGTTGTTTAATTATAAAAACGGCGCAACCTATTATCAAGAGAAAAACTCTTAGAGAAAGAGGGGGAGAGGGGGTAGCGTTCCAAGAAATATTGCGTTCGTTCGTCGCGCGATTGATAAACGAACGTGGTGGTATGGCACGTGCTACGAGAAAACAATTCTTCCTCAGTATTTTCTTCCACGACGCATCAGAGTCGTGCGGCGGCCCATATTTATCGGGGAATTCTAACTTATAAATACATACAGATATCCTCGATTAGATTCGTCAAAATATCGACATGTATCATAAGCCTAGGTGAATATATGTTGGCACACTAAGTACTACACTAAGTACACAAATAATTTAACGTAAATACTTGGAATTAAAAGGAATTAATAGAGGAATTTAACAGACAAAGAAGGCGAAACTAAAATTATGCAAAAATAAAATGCAAATACTTATCTTTGAAGATGAAAGACTTACTCTAGAAACCTTCTTCTTAGTGTAAACTTCATCGTCCTCCGAGGCGGTAGCGAAATTCAAGTTTCCTTCGCAATAACCTGTCCCTAAGCCAATTCTATAAATTTCATCTTTGCAGGATCTTCCATCCAAACTGAAAAATATAATTAACGTATATGTGTACATAAAAATAGTGGTTAACATAGGTAACATATTTATATATAAGGATATTCGCCAACATTTCAAATTTATAAAATCATCCACTTTCATATATATAAAGAAATCCGTAATTGAAGAGAAATATGATGCTGTTTATAGCTCGTCTTTGAAGGAATAAGACGAAAGAGAATTAACGACAATTTACGTAATGTACGTAATACTTGAAATAGCTCGGTAAGCGATGGAGCTTCAGTCAATAACCCTGATTATACTGGAGATTATACCGAGGTTATATCGAGGCTATACCGAAGTTATACCTAGCGGCACGCTTATACTCCATTATAGATTTTCTTTCCTATAAGAAGAGGCATACGGAAAAAGCTGGTATCTGGCTCGTATGCGCCGCGAGCCAGGCAAAAACATGAACGGCATTGTCGTTGCTTATCAAATTTACAGGAGATGCATATGTATAACATTTTTTTTACATTCCCGCGCAATAGTAAACGACTTAAAGAGGCTTGCTGCTAGCTTTTATCCATCCTTAGAGTATGATTTTTTCAAATAGCGAGCATCGAATCGTGCCTTTTAAACCGACGATATGTGATCAAGTTCTAATAATAATTTAGATTCGCGAGAGAGTAAACTAACAAATTTCGTTGACATCAGCGAAACTAAAGTCGTAAGATTATAGCACGAGACGTTAATTATCTACATACACGAGTAACCACACGTTCTTTTACTCGATAGGTCGTCATTAATCGCGATTCTATAACAGTAGGTAAGGCATTTCGACTGGTAAATATAAAAGTAAATCAAAAGTAAATCAAAAGTAAATCAAAAGTTCAAGACAATGCATACCCCTCCTATTGCATATCGAACATATTCTTTCTTTTAACAGACAGCAAATTTTGCTCTAGCTCTCTTGGAATAAAATCAATTTCACTACGTATTTAGGCCGAGCTCGTTTTCGCTTATCGACCTACATCACAGTCACGAAAGAGACGAATTATCTATCACAACGCGGAAAACAAACGTTGACGCGACGATGACACAAAAGTCAGTAAAAAGAGAAATCTATTGAAATGAAATAAAGTTTTGCCGAAGTAAGGAGCCGTGCTTTCTAGAGAGCACATAATGCGCATGCGAATGTTTGCGCACGCACACATTCACCATCTATTTTATCGGTGTAAGAAATTACTCAACGCAGGAAGGCCGAACTGGTTATGCCTAAGAAAACTATGCCTCGTGTTCTCGCACGCGCGCGCGTGGTTGACATTTTCTTGCATGTGACTCTCTTATAGATCGTTCTCCCCTTGGCTTCTTTTCCCTTTCCATAGATCTCATCTTCTAATGTACGGAATATATAATGGAAAAGATGGGATACTTAAGAGACATCTATAAGCGAACGCTTGTCTTTTACTTTCCAAGATCTTTCAAGAAAACTAAATTTCCATGATCATGAAAATAACCGAAAACTTTACTCGGACATGTCGCTTCGCGATTGACATTTACTATTGCTATGTAGGTACATACGCGCTAATATGTGCTCCCTTTTGCGAAAGCATCTTTTAAAATTAAGTAAAAAGTAAATGAAGAAAAGATGGAAAAGAAAGAATGTTCTTTTCTACCGGTTCGAGATCTGCTCTGAAAAGATGCAGATAATGGCGTTTGCAATTCACGACGTCCTTCAACGACCTTTACATCGCATCTCGGAGTCCGTGGTTGCTCGTGTTAGCTTGCTCGTGCGTGCGTGCGTGCGTGCGTGCGTGCGTGCGTGCGTGCGTGCGTGCGTGCGTGCGTGCGTGCGTGCGTGCGTGCGTGCGTGCATTCACTTTCATGTATTATATCCATATATATATAGCACTTAAAACACCCACTCGCAAAGACTCGGACCTAAGAAGGGACCCCACCACCACCAGTCGCTATTAAGAACGGAGAGAGAGAAGGAAGGAAAAAATAGCGAGATAGAGATATCGCGCAAGTGTGCGAAGTAAACCATCGTGAGACGAGTAGTGTCTTCATTTGTACATGCATATTACTTACCTATCTCCGTGAAAATTGCGCTCGCACGAGCTCTCTGTGTTAAAATATTACGTTATTATTAGCAAAAGAGTACGTGGTAGCCAAGCTTTTTTTTAGAACTCTTTATCGGATACGTGTTCCTCGTTCGTGAAATAATGCAGGCCGTATTAGTCACACAGTCGATAATCGATATTATACATACATATACATAGGTATATCGCAAACGCGTGTGGGATGTCGCATCGAGAGCTATAAGGCTGGAGTTCGAACCTTTATTTTAACGATTCTTTATATCCTTATTCGCTACTTTTCTTTCTTTCACGTCCTTGAAATAAGGTATAGACTTACGTTGTTAAATCAATTTAATAGAAAATTGGACACAGCAACGAAGAAAATTATATACGTATAGTGTGCACGATATGTACGAGTATGTGTGTATTATAGATACATAAATTACCTCTATGCACGCCCAGGCTTATTTTTTATTTTTTCACTTTCATCGTATCGGTAAACGTTCGCGAACTTAGGACGCACGTGCGGAACGGTTTCATCTACATAATACTACCAGTGTACGAGAGCAACATCTTATTGTAAGATTTTCTATCGTTATCACCTACTACGCAACGATAGAATTGAATCGCTTACTCGCTCGATTTATATATCGTAGAAGACGGTAAGCGTCGCCGTCTTATCTTTTAGGTCTGTCTACAAAAACGCTGGTTTGTTAGTATAAGACGATAGGCATTTGTTCGATTTTAAGTAACCGAATACAACGGACGAAATAAAGGACGGTGTGGATGCGATGAATGAATGCACGAGCGACAAAGGAGAGTGAGTGTTGAGCGATGAAAGAGAGAGATTCTGTGTTTTGTTATAGAGATTAGAATAAAACTGTTTTTCCCATTATAAAAATCCTACAATATTATATGTATGTATGTATTCGCTGCATCGATTACGATTGACGCGTCGTTATACCTGTACAGTCGCGATTTCCACCACTATTTTGATTACGCGGCCAAGCTTTTTGTTTTTATTAAATATTCTATGTTCGTTTACTTCTTATTAGAGTATTCGGCTGTATCGAAATATAATTCACCGATACTTTCTTCTTCTTTTTCTTTCCTACCCTTATTTTTTAGTCTTTTTCTTTGCACCAAGTGATAATGTGCAATTGTGTATGTAATGAAGTAGGTAAATGCTTACATAAATAGTACTCAAGCTGAGTTTAATCGAATCGTTTCGCCTGTACCTACGCTGGCAAACGGTAGGTATGTTAGTTAATTAATTAATGACGACAACGTGACGAGACATGAATTGAAATGAGGATGTTTCACATGCATACGCACATAGATCGATAACAATCCTGACGATTGGGAAAAAGACGAGAGGAAATGAAGAGAAGATAAAAGCTGGAAAACTGAGCAGCTCCTTGTCAGTCACATGCCAATCACTAATTATAACAATGATGGTGCACCTGCCTGGCCTATGCGACATTTCGAGCGTGTTGCAAACGTTATCACGTTAATCTGTGATCACGTAAGTCGTAAAGAACAAAAAATAAGAAAAAGTGATACCTGGCTATTACAATCTTCGAGTGATAGAGACTAGATACAAGTTCGAGGATTCATCGCGATAATATATACATAATAATTGTATTCTCCAAACAGAACGCGTGAATGCATCTACCGATATTTACATAATAGCAGATTCTTATGCACGCATAAACGTCTTATTTCTTGTTCTCAAGCGCCCGTTTAACGACAGCAAAATAGGTTTGTTTTTTAATCATTTTCTCAAAGGGACTTACTACCGTACGAACGGCAAGTAAAGAGGTTTCCTAACAGACGATTTCATTTGCAAAGAAACCTTTGGAAGTGTTTCAAGGTCCTCAGTGTACACGAGTACATGGAGTATTTCGCGATTCTTTCATCGAACTAAATTTCCCAAACTCGTGCGGCGTTCCTTTGGCGAGAAAAAGAAAATCGTTCGATTCCGAATGTTTTTATCGTGCGTTATCGTACACGACTTTTAACGAAAGAACACCATGATTTTGTCCTTCACTCGATAAAACTATTTTCACTCTATTTGACTAATTAATTCGGGTGCTCTTCCTCTCTCTTTTCGGTATAAACAACAAAATAGAAAATCAAGTATGTTCCATCTCCGCTCGAATTTGCTTGCGCGAGTGTCGCGATTTCTTTAATTACGTAAGAACAGTATCAAAAGTTCTCGCAAAGGCTCTATGTTTATTTGCCGATGACGCTAGGGTACCGTTGCGAAAGGTCAAGGATGCGCCGTAGAATAATAATATACCACGTTAGTTATAATTAAAATGAAACACCGCTCAGAGAAGCTACCAGAGATGAGTTAAAATAGAATTTCCAACAAAGTGTGCGCATCACGTGAACCTTGCGTGCCGGTTCTCACCGAATCGTTGCATATCGGTCGTCGATGAGACGACGCGCGCACGATACTATAATTATTATGGAGAGCATAGTGTATTTTAAATAGAAATGCTTCGAGCTATCTATCGTTTTTATAGTATTCTTTCGTCCAACGAACTCGGTAGGTAGCCTTGAATGCCTGCCTTCGGCACATGTAATCAATGAATATGAAATCTTTCCTTCTTGAAATAGAAAAATTGATTCGAATGCCTATACGCATGTATCGATACTCTATTGATATTCGGCCTATCGACGACCAAAAGAATTGTCGTTTGATTGCGTTCATCGGCCCCTAGCAAACATAGCTCATAGAGAGCTTACGTACACACGTACATGGTCGCAGGCAAGCAAGCAGGCAAGCAAACATGTCGCGTCTCCCTTCCGTTCGTATGATACCGGCTTGCTCGCTATGTAAAAATACTAACCTACATAGATCGCTCGAGTGTCAGCATAGCGCGTGTCGGACAACGTGACTCTCTTGCTGAAACGCGTTGCTTCGTGCCAACTCGTTCGCCCCACTCAGAGCTCA